TTTTGTTGCGAGTGATCTTGACCACCGAATCTCGAACTTGGTTCTTCCGTGATTTCCAATTTCGCTTCTAAAATCGCTGGTGCGACAACTCGCGGTTCGTCGACCCCGGATGCATCTCAGCAATAAATAGATCCACTGATGAGCTTAGGTAGCAGGTATTACCAGTGCCTTCGATTTATCGAATCCGTGCGCGAGCAGGGAGCGACACGATACAAATATTTAGATTGGAGGCCGACCCACAATAAAGGTTCGATGGGTCTGAGCACCGTGCAGCGCGACCTCGATGTTCGGAGTGGCTCGATCGAGGGATTAAACCGAATGTTCCAGATCGGGAGACATCTTCCTCTAGGAATTTTTAGTTGGAAGTGACCGTCGGCCGGAGAGGCTTGGATAGCTCGCTTTAAGGGACACAGTTGAACATCCTGAGGACTCTTGGAGATCGACGAGTCGCTTATCGTACAACGTAGGTTCTCGAATGGATCACGACCTTGGATTCACTTTCTCTCGTGTCAATCAAATCCTTGGATATACCAACAGTTATATTATCACCTCTGTTATAGCTATCTTACAGCTCAGATAAGTAAGATCTGGATTTGTAAAAGTCTTGAGCATCCACAGTCAATCTTTCTTCGCTTCCACTCCAGAGTTAATTGAAACTGGAGGATTGTATCGACCAAATCGATAATCCAACAGCGGTTGGGGACAAAAGTTGATACATCCCGCAGTGTCCTGTTTCCTCACGCAGAGTCTATTTCAGGTCCTGTTCATCGTCGACGACTTATCAGATTTTCGATTGTACCCCCTGGTTTGTGGATGGTCGAAGAAACCAGTGGCCTCGTTCGTCATTTGATTCTAACGAGGAACACGATCACGTTGCTCGTGACCTCGCTCTCCCTGCGCATCGTATACACCCAAGGACACGGTTTTCTTAAAGCAGGACGTTCACGTGAAAACTAAAGGATCAAGTGGTGGGAACCGAGTTAGAAAACTCGTGGTTCATCGATAGTACGCGACACTGACACGGTTAGTTTGCCACTTGCGATCTCGGACTCCCCCCCGACTCGAGCTCTCGCTTTAGGGGATGGCTCTGCATATCTTATCGCTGAGTAGCGTCGCGGCTGATCGTTGACTGTTTTTTTTTTCTTTTTGCCTTCCAAAAATTGCTTTAAACTTCTTGACTTCTAGACTTGCATCATTTTAGTTTTGATGTTAGCTTCCAGAGTTGTCGCATGATATTGTCGAGTTCTTTAACGGATACGCGAATTTTTATATTCTTTAACGAGGCAATTGAAGATTAGAAGATGGCTGAGAATTCGAATCCTTGTTCACTGATCGCGTGCACATTGGGTTTCTTTGAACAATTATTTTCGCTTGTGTCAGGAGGAGAGAACTCCGGGGGTTGCACCGTACGTGCCTCTCGGAAACCTCTGGCGGCGGCGTCGCGACGCCAACTGACTGGACTAGACTGGTGCCGGGCGTCGAAGCGTTTTGAAACAGGCGCTACGATTTGCAGGGCCGTACGGACGCACGGTGAGGCGGATTTCCAGTGACTTTATCAAAACTCAAACAATGTATGATAAATGTATAATGTATAATAAAGTTATAATAGACCACATTAAACATTAAATAGTATAACAAAGTAAATAAAACGGTGATATTAAAAGTTGTAAAATTATTTTATACGTGTCGTGCACGTGTAAGAGGAAGAACAAGTGGTCCCAGGCATTTGTATTCCAACAGCTCACATATCTTAAAAACAAAACCTTGAATTACAAAATGATTAATGACTTCCTTCTCCTCAATGAAGAGTTAAATGTACGTACTTCAAAAAAATTAAGCATCTTCAACTTCTATATCCATTTAGCTACATGTTGGTCTTCTTGCTAAATTCGCACATAGAAACTTGTACCTTCTTGCTCTTTTTCCATACCGAAGGTAACCTAAATAGGAGGCTGAAACATTCATTAAATAAATAGGTCATACTTCACATTTTTACTTCATTGAAAAATTGATTATTCTTGTAGATAGACTTCTCTTTCAGATCAATAAGCACACTTGAATAAAGTACACGTATCAGGGTCGTTTTGTATCACTCTCCGAACCACTTGACATAGCAAAAGCGATCGTTGATGGTGGTTATTTCTGAAAGTTATGAGAACGACCCAGTCGCTTGTCTAGTGTTCGAAGTTAATGGTCGTCGGTCTAGTGACGCCAGCCGCGAGAAAGATGACACACGAGTTTCGTAATAATGTCCTGCGATCGCTGTTAATAGTCGTCTAGAACCGTAGTCGCCCACGCTGTTTCACGTATTCAGGGAAACTGTCGCGAAATCACTTGCCAACAAATACCTCGCATCTCTCAAATATACGAAACGTTCGAAAAAAATCTCCGTCTTTCGTGCTTTATTTTTATTTAGCGACAGAAATTTTTAAATTATTACGTACAGCTCGAGTCCTGTCGCGAGCGAAACGAAGAGACAGTTTAAACGAAAGCATCGCGATTGATTCAAAGTGCAGCTGCGACATTTCGTTCTGCACTTTAATGCAGACTCGACCGACATCGCTTTTCGCTGCAATGCGATAGGGTTGTTTTCTAGATCACAGGGGCTTGTATGTACAAAAGAAACCAGCAAATCGCGGTCACGAAACAAGTCAGCGACGCGTTATATTTTTAGCGGTGGAAAAAAAAAACGTCTGCCGAAGCGAAAATGGTCTTTCGAAATAAAAAAACTCGGAAAGAGAGGAAAATAAAAGTTTCTGGAACTGAGAATAGCTCTCAGCTGTGTTTCGATGATTGTTCGGTCGCTGCGGAAAAAATTGGTGAAGGTTCTTAAATTCCTTTCGGTAAATAGTAAAGTGATCGAGCCGAAAAAGTTTTCTTCTTGGATGTTTAATCATTCCACAAAGTGACAAGTAGTTACTTTCTTTCAACTTCATCAATTTTCAAAAAATTTGATTATGTTTCACTTTACTGATTTCATATCATCGTGTTATGAATCACAGTCTGAGAAGTATACAATTTAATTTCAAATTAGACAAATTTACTTTAACTCGATAAAAAACAAACGCATACAGGTTACTAAGGATTTGATTGTTTTACCTCTAGTCGCTAAGTTTGCCAAAACAAAGGAACGATGGGAAGGGACAATGGAGTTTTGCCAAGTAACTTGTAACGAAATTTTGGAATCGTTTCTTGGAAGAGGTCGTTCATCGTTCACGGTTCTCTGCATCACTGGAAGTTGGAAGTCATTAATAGGGTTTATATAGCTTGCTTTAATTTAACTGTAAATCAACGAGCATTTACCTCGCGAATATACGAACTACTGTACAAAGCCAAATGCCCACATCAAACGAGCTTTAAGAATACTGTTGCTCCATCTCGCGTTGAATTCTTCAACTACTCCTGAGTGTATACTCTGCAGACATTTATATTAGATTAGAGTAAGTATCAGTAAGTATACTGCTTTATTAACAGTTTATCCCTATTATTTATTACATAGTATTTCATACTATAATATAAAGCTTAAAATTTGTATCAGAATAGAAAGTTTGTCGCTATTCTCCACGTTTATGAAAGGCACTAAATATGTTTTGGCTTCTGATTGCTAGTATGCAATCGATGAAAATGGATTCTTCCAATCGAAAATCAGAACACATCTTTCTTTTCATTTGTAAGTTACATCGTGCATAGGTAAGTTTTTATGATACGAGCCTGACAAGCAAGAACACCGAAGAAGACGCTATCATTCGCTTTCATGTTTCTAAATTAATTTGTGTAATTTGTATACACATTTATGCTTGATTTTATCAAACACCTGATGAAAATAATGTCGTATCGAACCAAAGTGATACACGTATCGAATACTTTGGTGGCTTTATAAACTCGTCTAATACTCGTAGACTTTGAAAACTGAATTGAGGTTAGGTTCAACCGTGTTTCACGAGTCATGTTAATTTTTACAGGTAAAATTCAAATCACAAATTACGTAACATAGAAAAAGTTCAAATTTGGACAAGAGCTCCGAAAAAGAGCATGTCTACTCGGTTTATACCGATTAACGAGTATTATTAATAATGGGCGGGAAAAAGCATTGTCGTGATACCTTTGTTCCTACAATCTCAACAAATATTCAGAATAGCCTATGAAACAGATACCTAGTATATCTTTCCATGCTAATTTCCTCGTCTGTGGAAAAACTTGAATTATACAACACATATTTGTATCTCATTTGCTTTTTTTGTAAACTTCATACGCTTGGTCAGGGCTACTTTTACGTGGAAGCAAACACAAGCAAGCGATGCCTCGCGCCATCGCAACATGGCGTCCGCCAGGGACGATTCAACGAGAAGACTGGACAATTTTAATAACAAAGAAAACATGCTTACCTTTTCCGCGATGCAATATCGTATGCAACCTAATAAAATTATGAAGACGTTTATATAGTTTTTTGGGTTAAACACAAGAAAAAAAAATTTAATCCAAAATTTCTTGGAGGCGCCAGCGACTCTAGGGTCGATCCTGGGCTTGCGAACGTTACTGTCGTTCGATGTAAACGTAGTCGAATAAAACCCTCGAAATTTATTACATTAATTTACATATTAAAAATGCATGCCTTGTAAACTTATTTTATATTAATATCGCATGTTTAAAAAATATTCTATACAAACCCGTGATACAAAATTACAGACGATTCGATATCAAGTATTCTACGAAAATCGAACCTGAGCAATTAAAACTATCTCGAATGGAGAGAATCAGAATTACACAAAAAAATTTTGAAAACGACCTCCTGGGGGGGGTGGGGGCTTCGAAAGAATCGCCTAATTTTTACGCCGAAAGGTAAATAATCGTTTCCAAGTTTCGCACGCGAAGGTAGCGCGGACCAATGGGAAACGGCGACAGTGTCCCGCGGGCCAATGAGAGCGCACGGCGTAACGGGTAATAGCGTCACCGGGTGCTGACCTTGGCGGCGCTTGGCTGCATTCACGGAAGGCGCCCGAAAACGCTTCGGAAAAAGGCATCGAGGGCAGCGCGCGTTCGTGTCGCCCATTGTTATCCTCGTCGCGTGTAATGGCTACCGCAGAGTTTGTTGACGGTGCTCGGTCTGCTTGTTTGCGATACGGCCTATCCTGAGCCACGGTACGCGGCGACGCGGTCCAACCCGACGAGAAACAAACCGTGAGGAGTCGTACGCCGCGAGCTACCGCCAATTTTATGCGACCGAGGAACCCGCGCTTCGTGCAGCAGTCGCCGCAGCCGCCACCGCGCTTGGACGACATGATATGCGCGGGTCAACGCTGTCCGTTGACAAGCGTGTAACGGAGATACTGTTCTCGCGTTATCCACGAGGCTCGTGATAGAAACGGTGCTGTGACCGGGGTGAATTTTAGCGGGATCCAACGTACCGAGGAGGCGCATCGAAGCTCGATAATCGATCGCCATTGATTTTCCGCGGCGACCACGGCCCAACCGACACGAGGAACTCGTTTTCGGATGTTGTATAGGACGATACACCGAAACCAGTTACCAAGGTATTGCCATCGTCGGGATTAAGTGTGACCAGCTGCGCGGCATTCCGCGCCGCAGTCATGGCAACTAGAAGATTACCCGTTTGGCAGCCAGACATGTAACCCGCGGCGCCCGTGTAGACTCACATGTGAGTATCGTCTGTTATGCTAGGTGTCCACTCGTGGGTCTCACCCTCGGGAGTCCCTATCGGGAATAAAAGCGTGAGGGTGCCCCCATGCTGGCTGTTTCCTCCACGTTTCTGTTACATGGAAAAAAGTAAAAAGGGGGGACTATGCTGTTGCAAATGAGTAATATGTGGATAGAATTGATTAATTGTACCTCACAAAAGCCAATTATAACGTTTAACTTGATACGACTCGCATGGAGGTACTCGCTACTCTGCTTGTATGTGCGAGTAGAGGACCTTTATGTTCTATACTTTGTCCACTAGAGAGTCTTAGACAGACAATGTAACTACGGTTTAGTTGAGAAGCATCTTTTCATCGAAAAGACATTAGTTAGAGATTAGCATTATGTATCAAACCTGGATTCCTTCTTATTTCCCTTCAATTGGTCCTGTTGCGTGATCTGCAGTTGCTTACAAAATTATTCTAATACTTGCGATTTATGCTGTTAGCAAATACAATAATACATCTCTTAAATTTGTTTTTCAGGTAAAATTTCAACTCAAGTATAATGCAGGACTTGAGAATGTATTGGTACAAGCAAATTTAAAAATATGTATAGAATTTACAAGAAAATTGAAGGTAAACATACTGTTTACAGAAAATACTTAAAATATCTTCATGTTCTTTGTAAATAGTACATTTACACCCAATATTTTAGAAATTCTATACATTTCCTTAAACTTGCTTGTGATTTTACACAAACTCAAAACTTGCATTCATAACTCAGTCATAATTTTTGTAATTTGTTAATGATATAGATTGCAAGCATTCGAATACTCTTATCAGTAACTGTATGCCATTCCTTTCTACTTTGATGTGGCTTTGATCAGGGAGGGAATTGGAGTCGACAGGTCTGTTTTAATTTTGGTTTAATAAATGCCTACCGATTGTGCAGGGTCAAAGGCAACACATCAATGGCCCTAGAATCAAATGGCAACAACGTGGTGTGGTTGAACACAACCCGTCCTGATCAAATACAACAGGTATGCACCTTGTATACCCGCAACGATGTAAAGAGGAAATGAGTTTTCTTTACTCAACAATATTTGTTCGCTTTTCTTTGAAGTTTGATGCGCATAACGTATACCACTGTACGTAGAATGTCAACTGAGGCAACGTATAGTAGAATGTTATTGTTTTTTAAAAGTGTTAGGCAATTATCATAGTATCTAACGATAAATACCGTTCAACAGAGCCAACCGATCGAGCAGCCAGTGAAGTGTTCCATGTTCACTCAAACAGAGCAAACCAATAGTTTTACTCAGACAGAGCAGAGTAATTCGAGTTACGGCGATCAGAGACAGGTTAGTTAATTATTAAAATATTCATGAAACTAGTTTACTCTTCTGTACATATCAAGATAATAATGCTGAGACTTATGATTTGCTATATATTTTCAGCAACAAGCAGCAATGTTTGACCCACAGCAAATACAGCAGCAACAAGCTGCACAGGGTCAGCAGACGCAGCAGCAGCAGCAGTCTCAGCAGATGTATGTCACGACGGACAAGAAGGAGGACAAATCTCAGCAGCAATCGGCTACTGCGGAATTTCCTTTCTATTACAATGTCAACATGCTGCAAAAGGTTCAAACGAACGCTGTGAGCACAATCGGTGCGATTACCACCGACGACAAGGGTTGTTACCGTTTCGACGTGCAACCTGTTGGTTACAACACATTACTGAACCAAATGAGCATTGCGGCTGCTACCAACGCGACCTTCAAGTGCGATATTTGTGGTTTGGTCTTTGGACACATGAGCTTACTGAATCATCACAAACGGATTCACAACACGACGCCTAGTAATCTTCAGCAACAACCACAGCAAGTTGTTGTACAAACACCGACAACGGTTACTGTCGCAACAACACCAGAGAGACCGTATACCTGTGATATATGCGGAGCATGCTTTGCGCTACCAGGAGAATTGAAGAGCCATAAAACAAACATGCATCAGAAACCGAAGGTGCAGCTTTGCGAAGATTGTGGTAGCGAGGACCCTTGTGAACATCATCCTACTAAAATTAAAAAGAGTAGGTTTCATCGGTTCTTTATTATATGGGGTGATACTAGAGATTCGAATAAAATCTTGCTTATCTCGAGGACTCACTTTAATAACTGCAGTCCACAGAAAGGAGACGTAAGTTTAAATAGAATGTTATGTTCACAGCTATCAAACCTGGTCATCATCCTGTAAAACGAAGGGGTGTAACCAGTGTTACCAAGTGTCACAAGTGTAATGGTACAGGAATAATTTTTATCGGTAAGTAAAAGTTATCGCGCAGTCTGAAGGAAAATGTTTGTTGAAATAATACAACGCTGCTCTGCTTTAAAATGGTAGTTGTCCTATTGGACGTTGAAGTTAGGAGATGTTGAGATTTGTATATGACAATGAGAAACATTTTTCTTCCTACATCATAATCACCTTTCTTCTACTTCTATCGTTTCATTACTGTCATGATCGTACATCGGGCGGTGTATGGTAGATAAACACGACGAAAAACTAGATTCCGGAATCAGTTCCCTCGCGAAGTGTGGCGGCTGCAAGGCAACAGGCCGCATCATCATAGGAAGTAAGTCGGAAAAGTTACAGCCAAAAAGAACACGGGATTTATATTATATAATACATTCCACGATCATCCCACCGATGATTGATTCCGATGCCTTTTTTAGGTGAAGAATTATATCCTGTTGTCGTTATTTCATACAAACTCATGTTTAGGATCATTGAATAACATTCATTCTACATTCTTCTCGTGAACTCCAAAACTTCATTTTTCGCACTTATAATAGGAATAATAAATGCATATCACAAATTTATTCAACAAGCTTCTTTCCATACTGATTTTCTTTTATTTGCATACTATTGTGGGTAGAAGGAAATTGATAAGCATTCACTAACTTGGTTTTTTACAATGTTTAAAAACGTTAAAAATTTGGTTGCTATATATTCTGTTTCCTTTTTGGTACAACAGTCGATACCTAAATTTAAGTATCATTGCATGGAATGAAATCTCCCCTAAGGGACAGTTTTATAAATTTGGTCAACTTTAACATTGCTACCACATAGTTCGCATATAGACCGCAAAGAGGACATTTTAGTACTTATTGTAATTATTTTTACAACACAAAACTAATCAACTCGTAACATCCGACTCTGTACTTTATTTCTTATCTTCTGTATTAACACTCGTAACACACATGTTCAAATTTGGGTATGATGTACGTATATTATCGAAAAAAAACTAATTTTTATTTTTGGATGTGTTAGGAAGAAATGTGCAAAAGAAACTCGTTAAAAAAAAACCACACACGCTTCAGTGTCTCTCATTGCCTATTCATCGAATCATCTCGAATCATATCCTTTTGTAGAACTGGCCCTTCGAGGAAAACTAAGAATTTGGGTGTTTCTTAAATTGCAGGTGGCAAACAGAACAGTCAAAACCAGGCAGAGAAACCGTTCCATTGTAACGTGTGCGATGGAACATTTTCCCGATATTCGTCGCTTTGGTCCCACAAGAGACTCCATTCTGGGGACAAACCTTTCAAGTGTGATATTTGCGGCTTAGCTTTCGCAAAAGGTGAATAAATGAAAATGAAAACAATGCAACTCGAGGTAACTCATGAGAACCCAATATGCACTTAAAATATTCGCTTTCATCTTTATAGCTGCTTATCTGAAAAACCATGGACGAGTGCATACTGGTGAGAAACCATTCAAATGCAGTGTTTGTGGTATGCAGTTCTCTCAAAGTCCTCACTTAAAGAACCACGAAAGAATTCATTCTGGTGAACGCCCCTATCAGTGTGAAGTGTGTGAAAAAACATTTGCCAGACATTCGACCCTTTGGAATCACAGAAGAATCCATACCGGTGAAAAACCTTACAAATGTAGTATATGTGGTTCGGCCTTTAATCAAGCTACACATCTGAAAAATCACGCGAAAGTCCATACTGGTGAAAAGCCGCACAGGTAACGTATTATCGCTTATCCTTTTCAAGAGCAAAAGAAAAACTTCAGCTCGATTATACAAACAAAAAAATAGTGTAATCTAACGAGCGATGTCGTTTTTTTTCAGATGTGATATATGTGAGATCGGATTTTCCGATCGTTTCGCATTGAAGCGTCATCGTGCAATTCACGAAAAGTACGGCCAAACAGCCAGGAATCAGAACACGAACAATGCAAGCAACGCACAGCAACCGAACGCGAGCAATCAGCAGCAGCAACAGCAGCAGCAGCCCCAGCAAGCGCAGCAAGGTCAACAGGTTGTCGTTGTGAACGCCACGACTCCCGTTACCGTCAGCCAAGGTCAAGGACAAGCGGTAATGCTCGAAGAAGTCTACAAGTGTCAGGTGACCTTCCCAGAGCCTAAATGATTCAGCTAGAGAATACCTTTCAGGAGCTGGTAAAGGGGTTAATTTTTTAACCTTTTTAAAAAATGAAAGAGAGAGAGAGAGAGAGGAAAAAAAGCAACAAATAGTAATTAACATTGAGGAAACACGGTACACAGACACACACACGAACGCGTGCGTGCGAGAATGCAAAAACGTGGAACAACAATTCGAGACGAGTTTCCAGGAGTGACTGTGCGGAGATTTAGGTTCTAGTGGTTGGATATTGTTTGGCGTTTGACGCAGCCGGGGGTATACACGTGTACGAAAATTCAAACGCACCAGGAAGGGTATCGGAAAGAGAGAGAGACTTAACGATATTTTGCGCGGGCGTATATAATTTCTGAACGAAACATACACGTGACTCGGAAGAGTGCGGGCTCGAAAATCAAGAGAATCTTTCATGCGATCGAATTACGAAACGATATTAGAGAAGGAAAAGGATGAAAGAGAATGATTTTATATTTTCTCTCTCGAGGATAATCGCGTTATTAGAAGGGAAAAAAACCAGTGACGTCGGATCGAATAACAAATCTCGTTCGTTGAAACGGTTGCTAGGAATTTCGTTAAATTGATTTACAAATCGAATTTGCACATTGACTTTTGTTTGATTTTTTTATATTTATGTATGAATCATCTCCCACTCCAAAGCAGAGTAAACCCTAGAAAGACTAACGGGGGGAGCTCGTCGAGGTTAGGATACAAAATTTCTCTTGTTGCTTGTGCCTTGTATGTTGTTATTCAAAAATTAGTTTTAATTCGTTGAGAACATTAACAAAATATGCAAGGAAAGGGAAGGGTCTATTAATTTTAATGAGTACAGAATTCGAACAATAAAAACTTAATTCTGAATTAATTAAAATAAACGTAACAGACATGTTTCGTCTATAAATCTCAGTCGCAGAATATGTAGGATTATGGTGGGGATTAAGAATCGTTGCGTAACGTAACGTACTCGTGCTTCAGTCTTTCTGGGGTTAATCAAAGCAAAAGCAAGATAACGGCAGCGTGGATTTAGCGTCGAGGTTTCATGATTCATTCGAACGATAACGTGCGATAGCTGGAAGTAATTCTTTATTAGGCAGGAAGCGCAATAACCCGATCGCTCTAGTAGCACATTGTCCATGCCAATGCACATTTCACTAACGCTATAGCGAAATATTCCCGAGCGAATCCAAGCGCTTAATACGCCTGAACCTCGATCCTTTCTTCACTGATTTAAATAGGAAAACGAAATTAAACATTTATGTTATCTCGGTCGTCTCCTTTGATAATCGAACCTTAATAGCTGGATAACGATTAAAGAATGGAAAAAAGCGTGGACAATTATTGTTAAGAAACAAGCATTATCTTTACGCGCGTTCAAACGGAAGTCGTGGCGAGGAACGATATCGTGATTTGAGCGAGCCCTCTTCCGTCCAGTCATTCGGGTTCAGAATAAAAAGAAACGATTGCGCTTATTGCAATGACATAACGACCACGACATAGAAACAGGGATGGGCAAAATTGACTTCGAAAAATATCTGACTAAGTACGTTACTAATTTGTATTCCATGATTCGTGCAACAGTTATAACGAGAATAATGATGATCTCTTCGTTTGCTCATAAATAAATTCGAAGAATCAGGCCAATACCATACGCACACGACCTGAAACAATAACGTATATTTGAAAATGAATATAAGTATTCTTTACTTATCAGACAGTAGTTACTTGAGTTCCTTTAACTGTGGAGAAAAAAAAAACCAGAGCAAGTTACATTTTCCGTTTGTTACAATTTAATAAGTGCATTATACCCTTAGTCATGAGCTTATCACTTTTTGTGTATGAAATATACATTCATATTGCATTTATATCATTTGTGCAATGAGGATTAAAATTACAAAATGGACGACATCTTCAGCCGTGCCTCATGAGGCAATCCACAGTTAAGGGCTTATATACCACATGTTTTAGACGATGATAAAATATATAATATATTCTGTATTCGGTAATTATTTTCAATTACGAAATCGTTCGAACCCGCCCATCCCTGTGTAGAAGAACACTAAAAATGAAAACTAAGAAATTAACGACAGAAGTGACGCCACATGTGACGAAGATTTATATCTCACCGGAGCTGCAATAATTAATAGTGAATATCGACGAGCAGACTAATCTGTTTTATAATTTTAAGGCCGTGAACTATATTGAATATCAGTTAACTAAATAGTTGCTAGTTTGTAAACGGCAATTAGCTGACTAGATTATCTATACATATACATACAATTAATTTTTATATCCCCCACTTGTTAGGAGCGACAGCACGAGCGCCGTCGCTGAAACTACTTCGAATAACGATGTGAATCGGAGAGAATCTATTCGGTTTATAATAAAAAAAAAAAAAAAAAAAAGAAAAGTATCGACGATACCATAGCTCCGACTGGTCGGTAAACTGTGGCGTCAACGATACTTTTTTTTTTTTCTTCTTCAGAAACACACTCACGCTGATCGAGGATAAAGAACCGGCTGTTACTCGTGTATCATTATCGTCTAACGTTGTTTTTCGCGACCAGGCATTTTTTTCCATCTTCGATCATCGTTTGTTTTACACGAATGTCTCGCTTCTCCATGGAAAAACTCGAGATTGCCGCGAACAGGGAATTTGTCAAGAATTTATTCTTCGTAGTGGATTCTTATTCTGTAAGGTTTTCAGCACTACTATTTTATTTGAAAAAGTAGCTTTTTTATCAAAAATCTCATCTACTGGCCATAGCCTCCAAACGTTTTTAGTCTGTATTGCCATCTGTTATCCATCCTGCGGCACTAGTTTCAAGTTAAGCCGATGTTTTTAAAATTTTTCAAGCTGCCACGAACATTGAGCATTTTTTAACGCGATTGTAATCAAGAAGCGAGACATCATTGTACTTCTAATCGAGATTCGAACGATAAGCAATCGCCCTTCGGAATTCGCCTAGGAAGCGTTACTAATTGAATCGCGAGTAGATTTCATCTTCTCACCCCGACCGATGTTTTTTGTACGAAAGAAAAGGGAAATGGGAAAACAAAGGAATCGCTGTTAATAAGACGATGGCTCGGTGATGTCTCAAAATAATTCTTTTATACAGTGTATAAAGCGACCGTCAGTTACGAAGTATTACAAAGGGAACGCTATCTAAACGCGTTCGATCACAAAGTGATCGAAACACCTTCTGCATCGATTTTTCTCGAGGTTATATCGCGGAGAATTCTGGGGTATCCATTTTCAGGGGATTTCTTTGTTTTAATCGATATAACTTGTAAAAATATAAAAATACGATAATTACGTTTAATTTACTTTTAACGTGGTCATAATACCTGCTACAGTATTTCTGGATTAGATTAGATACTTCTTTCGGTGTTTTCCCTGGCTTCCGTTCGCCGGCTCGTGCCCCCGCGTGCTCGCTTGGTCGTTTACGAAACGTCGAACAGAATAAAACCTATGGGGTCCGTTTTTCTTTTCTTTTTTTGTTTCCCCCCCCTCTCCCCCCCCCCCCAAGACTGAGTGACGCTCGTCTCAGTTTATCAGTGCAATTGTTTCCTTCGGTCACGAGTGATTGGCAAAATCCTGGGCTTCGAATAAATCTGAAGTTTGCGATACGTTTATTATCTCTTTTCCTCTTTTGAACATTTTCCAAAGAAGGAAGCGAGACAAACATATCAGCAAACTTCCGATTTATTCGAAGCTTAAGGTTTTGCCCATCTCTGATCACGACCAGGGACGGGGAAAATTTGTACCTCGAATAAACGACCATTCGAGCGCCGAATATCTTACGAATTCCAAGTCTGTCTCTAGCTATTACAATTTTCGTCGGAACAGTAGAAAAAGTAAAAAAATAGAATAACAAATCAAGTAATTCGTAATTTGTTCGGAGCATCGAATACGTACGTTCGTTATTCGGTACTTATTTCGATTACGTATTCGTTCGAACGTACCCCATCCCTGATTACGACACACCAAGTACGTAACATGATAGTCAATGGAGAACACTAACGCTTCATTTAACTCTATTACTTCTTTTTCTTTTTCTTCTTCTTCTTCTTCTTCTTCTTCTTCTTCTTCTTCTTCTTTTTTTCCTTTTCAAATTCAGCCACCTTTAGTCCATACGATTTCGAAGTAGCAAAAAAAAAGTATAAAAAAAATATATATATATAAACACGTATAGCAGGCACTCGGTAGGTCAGGGTGTCTGATACACGATATCGCCTCTCTTATTTCGCTTAACGGCACTTTTGAACGAGCAGAGTTTGTAAATATTACTAATTATACGATGTCCCCAGGTCGAAGAGGAGGGCTCTGACCGTTACGTTTTACGAAGCGACTCACTTTCGTTCGATTAGGCGAGTGAAAGCATGACAAAATAGTTCTTAATCCGTTGGACACCGATGAATCGCATTTACCGCACACTTCGTCGTGACAAAACAAAAAGTAAATAAAAAAAAAAAAAAATCAAATACGAAAAAAAAAACAATCGTGCTAGCTAACACCGCCGCTCGAAATAATTAGAGGATCGGCCGTGCGGAGGAGACTACAACGCCCAGTAAGGTATCCGACTTTAAAGGCCCCGTATACGATACAGATATTATTTAAATGCCACGAAACTTTTCCAGCATGCTTGGCGGATCGTCCCGAACCGAAACGATCATACGCGCTATGGATCTAATTCCATCTGTTATCGAGCTGTGGCAAAAATAAACGATGCACGTATTTGAAAATGACGCGGGACAGCTATCTTGTTTCATCTCTGTTTTGCTTTTACAGGAAGTCTAACGATATTGCACGATTCGCCGGCCCCAGCAAATGTATTGTTGTGTGCGATTACTCGATGTCGGTCGCACCAGTCTGATGTGCCATTGCCGTAAATCTGTGACTATCGTCGGAATCAACCGGCCGCTCAAGGCTACCGAGGAGCTATCTATCCCCACCATACTGGTTTGGCTATCCTCTCTTTCTCATTTCGTTCCGTAAGTGTGCTTGAAAGACGGAAAGACGTACTTGCGACCAGAGACGAACGAAATACTAGATAACGCAATTTCATATAAAGAATAGACGACGTCTGATTCGTTATATTTTCAATGAAAAATACAATCAGAATTGTACGATCAAAGTCATCTGTTATTCGAGCGAAGTTTTGCCCATAGATGCTTGCGATCTAGTGTTGGGCAAAGTGCTGATCGAACGCATGTGATCATCTGTAAATTATCGGCATAGGATGCAATTTACGTTAAAGTAAAATATTATACAAATTATATAGTACAGTTTTATGCTTTTACTTATTTGGACGATCAAATATTTTATATTAAGGGGATAGAAATATGTACATTTTATAAAGAGTTTCGTGTTTTAACGTATCTAAATGACAAAACGTTTTACTTTAAGCGAGGTTTTATATTTCTACTTACCTAGACAATAACAATTTTTTATTCAGTGTTTCGTTATAACGATATAATTGATATATATTTTTCTTTGACGTAAACTATCCTACGGTGATAACTTCGATGATGACTGTTATTAACCGATTACAAAATTCGCTAAATAAACAATTGCCCGACTCTACCGTAAACGCTCCTTTCCGTTTCTCAAACACGGAAGCAAGTAAAAGTGGGAGTTTGACGTGGCCTTGAGTGACTAATTAAATTTGATTCGACTATAGTCGCGACACAGAGGCAGACTGAACACCACAGATCATCTATCAACGCTCATCTCGATAACAGATCTGCATAGGCTCGTATCGTACACGGCCTTCTTAGTTCAGAACGATTTGGCAAACCGACTGAGAAAGTGTTTCGATTACCTTGGTAGTTTCTGTTAAGAGCGCAGAGTTCACGATTGTCGAGGTCCAGATCATTTTTCAGAATCGTCCAGCAACGGGAACCCCTAATTTCCTCGAGCGACGTAATTTCTACGAGAACCCTACATTGTCGACACTTCTTTTGTACCAGAAACTCTCGAGCCCTTTTTTTCGAGTATGAGAGAGAGCGAGAGAGAGAGAGAGAGAGAGAGAGAGAGAGAGAGAGAGAGAGAGAGAAGCGCACTTTTATATATTGTACCTACGTTAAGAGACCTGCCAACAAGAGGTCGATGGGGATTGTAAGTACGAAGTACTAGGTGAATAAGTAATTTTAGGAACTGCGTCCGTGAAAATTGTCGAAGGAGCTATGGGTCCGCAAAACACTCCCATTAAATAATATAATACTAAGAATAAAACAGTGATCAATTTTTATATCACCATTCACCAATCTCACCATTTTTCCTAATTGAAAAGTGTCCTGAATTTTGGTATAATTGCGGAGTTTGCTAGAAATTCTTTCGATATTAAAACAATTAATCTTTAGAGGTGTCAGATTTATTCTGTATAGTGGTCACGTGGCTCCTTACAATTTTATTCGCGCATTTAGATAATATATCGCGGACGAAACAAAACAATTCGGAGCTTCCATTTTAATCAAAACGCCTGGAAGCGTCTTCCTGAGCCTCAAGTGAAAACATTATATGTCCTGACCTACCCGATTTATTTTCGCATCAGTTGTACATAAGCTAGCACTAATTTGATCGTTGAAACAAACAAAGAAAAATTTACTTTTATGCGTCACGTTTGGAACCCGAGTTTAACAATGAACACGAATATGATTGCATCGTATCCTTCTTTGATCGTCTAGAAGTTCGAGGGTCGAGGTTTCAGGGTCGTTACGCAGCTCAAATTCCCTGTAACTACACGCGGATCTTCGAAGCGCTTGAAGATAATGTGCTTGCACGAGTTTTCGGGTCGAAAAGATTAATAGTATCCTTAAAACGTTCGACCCTTTTAATTGCGTTCATTTTCGAAGGACCGACGGCTTAACCGTTTGCGCACGCCATTGTCGTTAATTAGTCTTTATCTGGATTCGTTCGTCTCCTCTAGATAATTGTAAGACAATTTTTCGCCTATTCTCCGGCTGAATATCTGCAAGTCCAGATAAGGATTGACCGAGGTGAACGAATAATACGTAAAACTTTGTATTAAGTATTGTAATAAGTCTAAAAAACGTGTACAGATTTCTCGTCCGTGCTCGAAGGAAGATGATAAACACTGTTTCTTTTTTGTACAAACTTTCCTCGTTGCCGCAGACGCCGTTCCATTCGAGACGAAAGCGAAATAGTATTTGCGTTAGTTTACTTTTTCCGTTTCTTTTTCTGTTCGATAACGATGTTCATCGTCTAGCCAAACAACGGGAAAAGAAAAGTAATGACGAAACGAGGTGGGGAAAAAGAACGAATATACACAGAACGGTATACGGTGAAACACACGGGATACCGTAAATATTTAGAAACGTATTCGTATACAAACAAAAAAAAAAAAAAAATTTAAAGGCGTAGAGAAAGGAAACCCATGAATAGACCTTAGACATAGCGTGCAATTTTACGGAGTTTCTTAATTAAAACGAAGGACGTTAATGGATGAAGGGGGATAAAAAAAAAAAATAATGGGAAAAAATATGCAGTCCTATCGCGACGATATAGATTAATTTTTACATGATACACGTTGTATGAGCAATAATTGCTGATCATACGAATTTTTGATAATAAAAGAACACGTTCCTATTAAATTATCTGTTCATTGTCGTATTGTTAAGTCTTCGAAGCGATTAGAAGAACGGTATCTTTGAAATAGACGGGATAGAAGGAGTTTAACTTACCTTTCTTTCTTACGAACGAGATGTAAGGAAATGAGTCGTATGGCCTCTTTGTAAGATAAGTAGAAACCGGGACATCCTTCTTTGTGGAAAGTAAGAGGAAGAAGAAAACAAAAGCGAGACGACGTCTCGCAAATTTTTTATCACGACGACAAAATGGGGGAAAAAAAAGTAATAAGAGAAACATTGGTTAAAAACCGCGAATAACGACGTGAGACTGTATATTTAACGTAATTTATTTTCAGGGTATCTATCGAGATATTTTTTCATTTGCCATTGTAAAAATTTTTGGAAATCTACGCACTTTCTATAAGCTATTGTAGGATTGTAAAGTTATACATAAAAAAAAAAAAAAATGAATGAAATTGAAATTGTAAGATGAAGACGAAGAGAGAAGAATAATCATTATTTTCGTCCTTTCGCTGAGGACCTCGGATGAATTCATCGGTATTCTCATCGTCGACGCTATGACGATACCAGAAACCAGAAATGAGCAAAATTCTTATCCAGATAAAAATGTCGAATAACGAATAAAATACAAACGGTTGTTCATACGTTCATTTTCGAATGATCGTTACGAATAAACTGCTATACGTTGATTTTATTTGTTATCGTATTTTCGAATAAAATTTTGTCCATTTCTGACGTAACTTTGTCCCACGAATAAATTGGTGACCTCGGTATTTTCATCGCTCGCCACGTGAGAATTCCGAAGACACTTTTACGGAGGATGTAGTTAAACGAAAACAACAACAGCAAAAAAAAAAAGAATTACTTTCATCATGTAAACACGCTATAGACAAAGCGAATGTATTCCGCCATGCGCTGTTTAAAAACTTAAGTTTCAATCTTCCGTTTTCCTTTGGCTTCAACTTCCGCGAGGTTTTTTAATCAAATCGAATCGAAAGAAAAAAAACGTGAGAAAAAAAGGAAGATTTATAAAATGTTTCAGTTCTGAACGATGTCGCTGGCAGAGAGAGAGAGAGAGAGAGAAAAAAAAGAGGATTACTTGCAAAACGGAGCTACAATAGTGACGAATAGCGCGCGGTGGTGAAGCCACTGTGAAGAAACTTATATGCGTGTATACACACACCGTTTTGTATGAAGGAACGAACAGTCGTAAAGAAGAAAAAAAGATTGTCACTTTAGATTAGTCTGCTGTCAATATAACTAGAATTATAATTTTGAATGTAACATGTATCATATTGATTATTGCCTAGATAAGAAACCGTACCGATTAAAAGTTAGCGCACGATTATATCAGACATTAGGTATAATAATAAATGATGTCCGCTGGACATTTTCATTTTTGAAGACTCACGTGAATTTTATTTAGTAGATGAACGGGAAGATTGACACGCCTGAACAGCGACAGTAATCGTTTAATTCCAATAATAACTATCTTTTATATGTAAAGTATCGAAAGGTTTATTTTTCTACGTTTATTTCGCATTTATTGTATACTCTTTTCCTTTAAAACATTATTTACACTCAAATGTGTCTTTATTTTAAATGTCTGAACTCGTTTCCAAGAAAATTCATATTAAAACTACATATATATATATATATATATATATATATATATATATATATATATATATTTACAGTAAATTAGAAATTCGATGAGAAAACGTGTCGAATAAGAAGTAAATAAAATACTTGAGAGAGATTATTCGAAAATTCGCGGTCCGTAGTGCGCATGCGTGAGCAGTTCGATGAACGCCGTGATGCCGTGACATCAGTCGACGACATTACGCGGCGGTGAGTGGACGCAGTTACACCCGTTCCATACGGAAATAAACATGGCGTCGTGGGGAATAGTAAACTGTGTTTAGTTCCTGGATACGTGAGCTTTTTGGATTTCAACGAGTTTGGAAATTGCCGTCACGGTCTGACATCACGTTAAATTACTCGCAAGGATGTTGCCTGACTACGGTTGAAGTTTGGCCAGGAATCTCGCGCTGAAGGTAAGTCAATTGAAAAGATACATTTATTCGGAGACAGGATTACCTGTGTTTTGGAAAAACTGGTCCACGATATTTCAGAAATGTGACAGTTCAGTTGACACGACCAACTGCGTTACAGAATTTCATTTTTCTTGTGTTTATGGATGTCCTTAATTGTTGCGTCGCGATGACAGGTTTTAATTGCGTAGAATACAGCTAATTATCTACTAGTAACGCACTTGGTCTCTGTGTCGGAATTCATACAATAATTTCTAGTTTAATTGTGGTCAATTCAAGAAACTGTTACACTGAATTTTGGCTGATTTTGGATCGTTAATACGTAGAATTATAGTATATTGTATTTCATGTTTTTGTCAAGTAATTTATAAAATTGAAAGGTCAAATATTATTGTCACTTTGACAATAGTTAAAATATTTAAAATAAGATATTAACATCAAAAATTTAAGATTACCTGATTTACAACAGTTACCAGGTACTATAATAAAAAATGCCTAATTTGGACACGTTATATTTAGGGAATATTTTTTTTTTAATGTAATTAGCACAGCACACTGAATCGTATATTTCGTATATTATTTCGATAATTATTTACATGTATTGCTCGTATGTTTGTGAACTTTTAAAAATAAGATTCTTCAGCAAAAATTACTGTACAAATGGGTAAATTACGTTCTGGCTCTGATCTAACGGCTGCACCTGAAGAATGTTACGAGCAGCTTGATTGTTTTTATATATACGACAGCAGATCCGCAGCGTTAGGAAATAAACAATTTCCACCAGCGAGAGGAAGCTAAAGCCCATGAAGAGTCCCAATAAGCCACCCGTGCTTGCTGTACAAAGAGAATTCAATTATAAGAATCTCGAGACTCTCGAATAGCTATTGAAAATAACAAGGAAATTTGATAAATAAGTAGAAAGAATGTGCAGGAAAATAAACGAGGATCGCAGTCGAACGAACGAACGAGGCGAAAGGGAATTATAAATCAAATGGGAGGCTGTTGATTAGTGACCTTGAACGGTCAATACATTGAGAATAAAGCACGAGAATGAGCATGAAATCACAGATGGGCAAAATTTAATTTGAATCGAAACGCTTATTCGATCGGGTACTTGCAACTTTATTTATTCATCACGATATATTTTATTTTTAATTCGGTATTCGTGATTGTAATTTTAACCAGAATTTTGTCCATCCGTAGATCAGGTGTCTGAGAACGTACTCGTAAAAAAAGAAACGTCGATCGAATTACTGAAATAATATCCAAGCCTTATCTCGGTCATCGAGTTCTTGCTCCGCATACATAACATTCGAACCGGTCATTTTTTACTACTTACAAAGGAACTCCGTGAATCCAAACAGTTCGTTTTTCACGTATTTGGTGAACTGGGACTCGACGAAAAATAGGTGAACCACTGCCATGTTCTCGCTGTTGAAGAAAGAGAATTTCAATTTAGACTATGGATCGCAATAGAAGATTGCTAAAAGATACGTCGAAATACACGTTTCCTTGTTAAAATGAATATATATATATATATATGAATAATTTTCAGATGCCCTTGACTCATGAAATTGCAACTAAAATAGCAATAGTACTCTATGGGCCTCGTGAAATCGAACATTTGCCTCTAACATTCTCTTCTATTCCTAAAAATAGATCCAGAAGACCTGTTGAACGTGCCTCATACTGTACATAAAATCTACATCGTGGACTTCAACACAAAATGAAAATTACGTGAAATATTTTTTGCTCTTCTTCACATAGCCCTCGGCGATATTGAAGTTGGGAACTAATTTACTCTGCGAAATCTCGACGTTGTAGTTGATCTCGAAGCACCCTGGATAGCAGTTGCAGCTGGGCCTGTAAACAACAGCATCTTCAACGTTCAACTAGACGTTAATTCTATAGAGATGAATCGGAGGACTCACGTTCCCGAAACGTTTAAAGAAGTTAAGCCACTGTCCTCGTCGTAAAGTTTCATTTCCATCGCTCTTCGAGCGTTCGTCGCGCATGCATCGTCTTTCTTCTCGCAGATCGGCGTGTTCGAGGACTCTGCGAATAATAAACAGCTGAAGCATTGGGTCGCGGTCACAACCTCTCGTTCAAGCTAAAGAAACATGAAGCCTTATGGTTTATCGTGGCGTTAGAAATTACTGGGCATGTAATACTGGACGCAGTGACAAATTTTTTGGGTGAAGTTCGCCTCGCATTCCAATACGCAATTCCTCTGCGTGTAGGTCCTGTAGTAGCGCAGCTTTCGCTCGGTCGTGAAGAAGCACTTCCTCTTCTTCTGAGGAATGGAGATTATCGACATGCTGGCGGTCGATATCCGAGGCGTTATGATTACCCTGGTCTCCTCACCCGGAGTCACAGTGAACGCGAATTCGGCTATTTTAGGGGTCTCCACTGGGTTGTGCAGCAGCATCTACAAAAAGACTTACTGTGTTGAACAATCGCGTGCCACCCTTGTACCTTTCGTGTTTACATCTATTGTAACTAAGGGTTCTTGGATTGGCAAGTGGCCTAGGTCACGAGAGACATGCATCTTTAGGAAAACAGTTATTGTTGTTGTCTGTTTATGTTTGCTTAGTTACTAAAAGTCAATCTTCATCCTTTATTCGCTATTTGGCAAGTCTAATCTTAACCGATCTTTAATTTGTTATTTGAAATTAATAACGCAATAAGTATTCAAACATCTCTGCTAAAACATTGATTACATCTTTGTATTTCATGTTAAATGGGACCTCGAGTTTCATTTTGTGTTAGAGGCCCCATAAATGCAAAACGTGTCATTGATATTATAATTATATTCGCGTAGGATGTGCACACATAACGCAACATCAGCAGACGTCCCTGCACTATGGTAACGGAGACAGAGTGGGGAAGGCTGTCTAAGTTACCGGAGCTTATATTGAACAATAGTGCTTTGAAGGAACTGGAACACAAATTCTGTTTCACTATTGCAAGCTGAATCCCTAAAATGAATAAATTATTAACCTTCTATAGAATTCTTTTCTATTCTTTTTATGTTCAACGAATAACAGATTCAAATTTTCTCGTACGCACGAAAGTAATAGTACCTTGAAACCCACGCTGGCAGTGGACGAACAATAATATTCCGCTACGTCCGCGTCGAGGACCAAAGTTAAACCGTAGAATTGTCCAGCGCCGTACGGCCTCCATGGCAGAGAATCGGCGGCCACGTTTTCGTCGTAGCCAGTTTCAGGGTTCCAATCGATGCTACTGTACGGGTACGTGATGTTCAGGTCGGGCCAATCTCGTCTGGAAGGTACATCGAAGCTACTAGAAACTTTCCTTCTAAAGTGAACTCCCAGGATGAAGTAACTAAAGTCGGAGTTACTTCTGCTAAAACCAAGGGTGTCTGGGTTTAGTCTCTAGGAGTCTCTGATTCTGGATTTTAAAATTGTAGCTCTATTGGACAATTGTCCTACTATTTGTAGCTTTAAAAGTTAAAAAGTTGATGTTTGGAGGCAGATTGTTGGTTTAAGGACACTTGAGTGGCTCTGGATACCATCTAGCTAGGGGTTAACTTCTCTCTTTTACTCATTGGCAGTCGCATTGTTATGTTTGAAGGGCATAGGGACATGCCTGCAGTCACGCTATCTCTATATACATTTCAAACAAGGAAAGTAATTTTTTACCCCATCTAAAATTCTCGTCCAACTATTATGAAAATTACTCACGGATTGTAAAATAGATATTTCCTGTGCACAGAGTTGAAGTTGCAGCATATTCCCTCATCGGTCATAGTAGGATTGAAGATCCTCGCACATTCGGTAACGTTACCATGCCAGGAGCACAAATGCAACATCTCCGTGCAGGTTTGCGACATCTGTCGAAGAATTAAAAAAATCCTCGATGGAAATATCGATACCAACGAAGGAATTATTTTTATTTATCGACGATACACTTTTACAGAATATTTGTTCGAGGGGAGAGAAATTAATTGCAACAATTTTCGTATAAATAAATGTAGTTGGATACAAAAGTGAGTAACCAAGCACGTAATTTAATATGTACGAACATAATTGCAATGGCGACACCGCGAAAGATCATCGATGGGGATCTTGTTTACCATAAGTAGATACGTTAAGATAAGTCCAGGATACTTGGTTGTACAGACAGAAGGTAAACAGCGCGTGTGTACACTCGATTATCTAAATAAACCACAAGGTAGAAGTGTATCGTAATGTGTTACGTACATACATTGATCATAAAATGCAGCATGCTACTCCATGTTATCGTGCTCTCGTCGAGATCGAAGGCCGTTATGTTGGAATCGAAGTTGCATCTGTCTTCTAACAACAGCTTCAGCCGTGCGTCATTTCTATCAACGAACAGTCGTCTCAATATTTTATTTTCAATATCTTCTCATATCTAGCATTAACATAAGGTTTGAACAAGTAATCAAATTCAATAATATCTTTTATTCAGTAATAGATAAAGAAAGTACTACTTCTGCCATGGCAAAAAGATGATTAATAGACTACCCAGTTGGTAAACCGTTAGTATTTGCCTTTTATTTTACGATTATCGCATTTTACCATTGCCGATCGACTATTGCTACGTCGTTGTAAATAACATAGACAAATGTTCTGCTTATACGATACCCGTGCGTCGATAGTTTCTGTATCGCTCACCCAGCGTTAATGCGCACTGCGTCGCTATTTTTCACATTGTTCATGTTGCAAAGGGTGATCGAGGGAAACGGAATTTCGTTCAACGATGCAGATTCAGGGCTCAAGGAGATGATGATAGGCGACAAGGACCATTTCCAGTACAGATACCAGATGTAGTAACTGGCAGTTGCAACCGCAAGCGTGAACGAGATTATCCAGAAGATTCTGAAAGAAAAACTGTGATTCTTCAAAATTCTTCAAAATTCTTCAAATATTTCAAGAAAATACTCTCAAATAAAGTTTAATTAATTTTTTTCATTTTCTTGTTATGTTTTCAGAAGCATCCACGTTGGAAGGGACGGGTTGAGTACGGAATGAAAATACAAATAAATACAGTTACCTTTCCATGATCGTTAGGTTTGAGTCGCCAACGTAACGCAAGCCATGAAGCGAACTGTTCGTGCAGTATTGTTTCAGAGAATTGTTTATGTCTGAATTGTTAAAACACTGTTGCACATTTTCATGTTTCCTATTGGTTGGAAGATATGTGTTTATTAACATTTCTTAGTACATATTGGTCTCTTTTTGTTGGAATGGAATCGTTATCGTCTTCGTAGCGAATTACCTTATATTCTTATCGTCGTCGTGATCGTAATGTTGCAGCATGGAGGTGTCCCTCTTCGACACTGCATTTTTATTGGCCCTCCATCTTAGCGTCGTGTCCCTTGATCGATACATGATCTTGAAAAGTATTTATTTCGTATAAAGTTTCGCATTTTTGCATTCAAATTACTTATAACAAGTATTCATTGTACAATACTTTTTTTAATTACTTCACGAATATTTCTGCTGATCTACATTTACTGAAATGTCTTTGATTCTTTTTCCTAGTTTTTCCAATCTGAATATAACGACCACTAGTACTTCGAAAATATTTAACACGAGGAAACCAGAATGCTTTTACGATTACCATTTAATCAAAATACAGTATAAAAGGTGGGGATAGTTACTTATTTCGAGACAATACTGTAATACTTCACCTTCACCGACCCTGATCGCACTTTAAAGTTCTCCCTCGTTGAGTATCCTTCCAGTCGTTGGGATTGCTTGTACGGGTTCTGCAAGTGAACCGTGTTGATAGAATAAGGTAGATTCAGATCGTGATTTCTCAAATAATTCAACGTGGCCTTGTTGGTCGTCTTGTAAGAAGTTTCATCCGGCGCCGTTTCGTTTTCGTGATCCGTTCTCGAGTAACCTCGATAGTAGAGCTTGATCGGCATCGCATCGGTGTCCAGATTGCTATAATAAATTCACAAGCGAAACTATCACGGCTTTGAATTCGTCGCGCGACGATCTGCCACTCTCCAGGCCAACTTTGTTCAAAAATCGATCGAAGAAAAAGAATCGAGTTGAATTCGATTTTTGACTTTCCTAAAAAGAAACGTTTCTGTTGCAGAAAATTCGACGCAGGTCTGCGGAAATTCGATGCGGATCCTATTTGAAGCGCAGGAGTTTGGATACTTTCGAAATTGTCGAGAAGTTTAAGAACACAGTCTCGTTCGAGTTTGCGAGAGGCCTCGTTTGGTCAGAAAATATTTTCACGCAATTAGGGTGGCTGGGAAAGCGTTTAGGACGTTGTAAACCATCGGTGAGAGATGTCTGTCAACGGACTGGGGTTGAACGCTAGCATGGGCATCCTTTTAACGCCGACAGGACCCTCACGTGCCGATGTGTCTTGTTTTCTTTAGCCATAGTGCATGCGCGATGACACAGATAATTACAGACGGCTGTGTTTTATCGTTTCCCCTTGAAATAGATCTTTCGTGCACTTGGCCAAAGGGATGACGAGATGCACGCGGTCTAATGCGATGTCTATTCACGCTTTCGTCGAAGGAGCTCGAATAATAAGCCCGATAACAAGTACATGCATCGACAACCCTCGTCGAGCAACTTTCGTTACTGTCTTTCGAATATCAAAAAAAAAAAAAACCTTTACTTCGGTAAATCAGTTCTCACAAAATTATTCTTGTAACTAGTCTAATGCTATCTATCAGCTTTATTTAAGTCATTACAAAATTTCAGAGAAATGTAGACCTCCTCCTGAGTCGAGACAAAATTATTTGGCTGCTCAAGGTTACCCTACTGCGAATCGTGTCAGCCTCCACTTACGTCCAATGAAGGGAAGAAGCGAAGGAATGTGAGACGAAGTGGGAGGAGCCATCATAATGAATATAAAATTAAAATTAATATTATGCTAAAATGATATCATTCTTCCTGCTCGGCGTCATGTGTAAACGACTTTGTAAGAAGAGTACAAGGTCGACCAAACAACGTACATCGTTTAAATTGTCAATTCTCTGTACAGCTTTTACGATCTCCCAGCGAGATAAAAAACGAAGTTACGAGAACGTCGACGATCGTTTCACATTACGCGAGAACTACAACCGCTAACCGCCTAGCGAAAATGTTAACTATTCTTCACACTCTAATGGGACTTCTCAAACACGACTGTTCGACAAATACCTTATCTATATTAAACGCGAGTACATTATACAGTTGTCTAAGCTCAGAAAACGACGTAATGGTACAATCTTAACTCTTCAATTACTTATTATATTTATAAGAAATCTGAATTAATCATATCATAAGACAAGCTTTACAATTTTTAAACTTTTATTGTGACATTCTTCAAACCTTTTCAAGGATCTTTATATGTAATGTCGTGTCTGTAATACGTTAAACAATGTACACAGTAATTATTCACATAGCGAAAAGTCCCATTGTTAATTACAGCAAATATTCACGGAAACGTTTAGTTTTAAATAAATGTTTCTTGTCTTATCAAGATTGCAAGTAAATGCTACCCTCAGGACACGAGAACGTATGCAATAAGTAGGAAACTTAATAAAGCTTATTAAATGCTGAACTAGATCTAATTTAGAAGATAGAGTGGAAAGACACACGGCCTTTAAAACTGCATTGGCGGTAGAGAGCTTCTACTAGGTCAGCATTGTGTATTTTATGTTAATGGCGCGGTGGAAGATAACAATGATTGTACGCTGGAAAGGAAAACAAACTTTTTAAGCTCCATTCTGTCTAATTAATGACACTTTCACGTGTGCTTGAGTTACTCTGACCTGCTCTTGAAAATATGCTCAACGAGCCAAGACAAGAGTGTGTTGATATATTGATACCATAAAATAATATTTGTAGCAGTTGAGTAACAGAAAATACTTCATTACACAATTAAAATTTGCACAAATTTCTGTTGCAGAAAATGCCGCAGAAGAACAGAAAACGGAAGTTAGAGGGGGAGGAGCAGTCGATAGCCAACTGGGAACAGGAGAACATTTTCCGAGATAAAACCAGAGAGGAAATGGAATCTATGTGGGAGGTACTTAGCCCTATTATTAATGATGTCTCTGAATTTCACGTAATGCTTAATATTTTACACAAGTATTTGTGTTTCAGCTACCACAAATTTTTCATTTTCTTCATCTTACCAAGGAAAGTCTGAATATACCTCATTTATCTATGTATGAAATGGAACGTATGCTTCTAATACCAAGAGCTTCAAAGCAGTTGGCAAATATCATGACATCCTTGTTAAGGTAAGGAAATACGTAATCCAAAGAAGTATTTAAAATGACATCAAGTGAAAGGTGTCATAGATTGTGATAAAGTTTCTTATGTCTTTTAACTTCAGCTCTCCCATCACCAAAGCGAAGTTGAGGAAGATACCACCCATGCCATACGAATTCTGGACTAACATTTTAGCCTACAAAATAAAAAGCTGGTTCAAAGTCTACGAGGGAAAGCATCAGGATGCCGTCAAAGTAAGCATTTGCCATTGTCGCATCATTAATTGAAACGTGCATCCGTTATGCAACAAATGACCTCACAAAATAGAATATTTTTATGCACGGATCGCGATTGTGCATTGCAGTGACAGGAAATGTGATCAAAGATTTTTAGGTTCTAGAAACCATTGGCGTCGAACCAGAATTCTGGAACATTTTTCCCGATGCCCCTCTGCTGAATGGGAAGGATTTCGAGGAGTTAACTTTCAAGCAAAAAGTCTGGCTTCTGAAAACAATCTGTGATACGGTTATGGTACGATAAAAAGAATTTGATTAAGCTCACTACATAGAATGAAGCTGTATAATAAGCAAATACATTAAACTTCTATCTTTAAGAGAACAAATATTTTAGCACACTAGGAAAACTGTGCAAGAGGAAATAGCTAAGCAACCATGGGAAGACCAGTTCGAAACAGTCTTAGGAACCGATCGCTACGGAGCAAGATATATTTATTTTCCACAATTCCTTAAAAGTGATCTACGAATATATAGGCACTGTCTCGATAATAAAATCCTATCTACGGTGAAGGTACTAACCGAGATAAATTAATCGAACGTACCGTTGTGTTATGTGATTTCTTCTAATTATTTATTATTGTTTCAGCCCATCAAGCCAAAGTTGAAAACAGGTTTAGGAAATAAAACACTGGAACAGTCAGATTTGATGAGGAAAAGAGCCAAGCACAAAAGGAAAAAATCACGGTGGAGCAATGGTTTGCCTTCAAGATCGAGAAAAAGAGTAAATAAATGCGATGAAAAGGTTCTAAGCGACTGCAAGTGCACTAGCGACAGTGCTACAGGCTCCTTAATTAACGAAGACACAAATCTGAGTAGTACAAGCACCTGTAATAATAATAATAATAATAATAATAATAATAATAATAATAATAACGATAGTAGTAATAATAAAAATAAGGAAAAAGTTAATTTAGACACCGTCAATGGGAAAAGGTCGAGAAGCTTATCGAAGTGTTCGGAAATGAGTACAGAGTGCGGTAAGACGCACTGTACAAATGTAAAGTCAAGCGGTTATGACACGAATAGTTCAGTTGAAACGTCTTCTGATTTAAGTACGCCTGAGAAAATGTTCAAGGGATTCTCGAATAGCAGTAACGAAAAATGTAATATAAAAATAATTAGCGGTATATTGGGTAATTTAAAAACGAATCCAAGCGAAGGGAGGGGGACAGACGATGTAAACGCATCTTCGACAAATACCTCACAAGATAAGTTAGAGTTGAACTCGGTGAGACAATATTTAGACACAATAGATCTCTGTACAAGTAAAAGTGAACCCGCTGATAACCTGTCCAGCGTTTCCAAGACTGACGATGAGAAATTGAACGAAATTATCAGTGCCGAATGCTTCAAGTTGGGCGACAAAAGTTCCAGTAATTTTCACACAGTTAGAGAAACGCACCAAATATCAACCATATCAAAATCCGACGACGAAAAATTGAGCGAAACTCAAAGTGGTCATAGCACATCGGAAGATAACGCTAGTCTTGTCGAAGAAACGAAGGAACATGTTCAATTTACGACTAAGAAAGAAAGTAATGGGTCTGTTGAAGAATTGCAATCGGGTCAAAGTAGCAAAAGTAGAGATAACGAGATGGAATCTGAGAAGAAACAGAATCTTTCTTTGAGTGAATTGAGGTCGATGTTGCAAGAAGAAGTGATGGAGGATGATCTCTCATTCGACGAGGACAGTGAAATTGGATATAACCTTCGAAGAACGAGGAGTGAGAAAACGCGGGACTGTAAACAAGAAGTGGATGATTTTAATGGGATGCTATTGGAACTGAGTGCTTCGAAATTTCAACTCGTAGCAGACAGCATTGCTTCACTGAAGGACCTCATAGCTTCCTTCTTACACAAGAACGGCAGTCCGAGTGCTGATACAGATGATGACGTATGTAGATCATTTTTCATTTTCATTTGAATTATTTTTGTTAGTTAACAAAAACGAAAATATTGTTCAAAAAAATAAAAAATATCTCATTAAGTTCCATTAAAAGAGATCGAATTTTCGGTCAAAAGAACCAGATTGTTCATTAAGAAAGATGGTGTTAAAAAAAATACAAGAGGCATATTGCGGTAGAGGAACGATGGATCTACACTCACGTCAGTATTTGTGTAAACAGTGTCGCGGTCTAGAAATTTCTTGCTTTGTTTACCTACAATCATGGTTTGCTTTGACCCTTCTGACATTTTACTTCTGTCGAAAATAATGCGTGGACAAATACCTCAGTTACTCGCGAACTGTCTGCCCACCAACGTCGAATGCATTGCTGTAATAATAATTTTTAAAAAGTTGTAGTAGATTTTTTATCAACGAAACGGTATCATAATGCTTCGCATAATGTCCCGCGTCGGGACCAAGAGAAGTGAAGTGTAAGGATAATATAAGGACATTGTGCGACGTGTTACCATAAATCAGTGTTTGGCATTAACCAACTAAATTTTTAATTAATTGATCGATCGATCGAATGATCATTTTTTTAGAATGAGGCTATTCCTCTGTGTGAACTGAAACTGGTCAAGAAATTGTCAGATCTACTCGAGTCTTTAAAGGAAATGGAACCAGCTATCTGCGACTCATTGAAGAAAGCCAGAGCAAAACTTCAAAAGGAATTAACCAATTTAAAAGAAGGGTATATTTATTTTTATTTATATCGAAGCACGTGATGTAATAATAAAAGGAACATCAAATTCTACCGACACCATTCATTCCATCATGTTAAGTTTAATTTGGGAATAATGACCTCTAAACACATGATATATATTGAATATCTTTGATCTTTACGTTCTTAATTGTAAGTTGTATCACCTCGTGAACAACGCATAATATTCCCAAATTAAACGTTCATTCTATATAGAACCTCTAAAAATTGCTACAATCTGTTTATGACCATTAAGGGGGGAATTCATCCGCATTTTTTTAGTAACGTTGATTTCTTTGTCGAGCAGACAAGCTGCTGTATGTTGTAGCAGTATGGAGTGTCAGGACTCATCTGGGGAGGGTGTCGGCTCTAATTGGTGGGTTCTTGGATCGCAGGGCTATCCACTGCCAACTTCCGGAGATGCATCGTTACAAACGTTACCGCAGTCTACCCTATCCCCAACTGGCGCCCAAAGCAACACCGTCAAGAGCAAAGAATGCCAAAAGGAGCACACCAGTCACGCAGAAGACAGTAAACACGAGCCCCAAGACCACAAAGAACGTCAAGGCGAAAACACGCAAAGCGAGTCACAAAGAAGCGAAGACAATAGCCAGGAAAGCACAGGAGCCGAAGAAGAGTCCAAGGAAGATTCGAACTGTGAAGAAGGTAAAAGAAGCAGTAGACACAATCTCATAGAAACGTGTTACTGTCTTCATTTATCGGTGTTCATAAATTATTTATTGTTGTTACTGAAACAGGACAACAAACACGAAGAGTGTTGCGAGCACGCGGCATCTCCTCCTACACAGAACAATTTTATTCAGACGATGAGATCGAGGAGAACAAGCTGGAAGAATGGCCCAACCTTGAGGCAGTCTATGCGGCTCCCAGCGCACAGACCGGTGCATCCACTCCTTACTTTAGTTCGAAAGTCAAACTCGCTGATGGTTGGACGAACGAGGAGGACTCAGACCAAGAGTGGATTCTACCGAGCTCTCGCAAAAGGAAAAATAAACGTCCGTGTAAGTATACCAGTTTACTATAAATATAAACAATACCTTCTACTGATAACAATAACTTTTATTATATTCTTTCAGCTGCCAATAGAAGATTGAAGTCATTCGAACATAAATTACAAAGCATCAAAGTAGACGAGCTACAAGAGGCAGCGGAATCGCTGGTAGCTGCTCCTTTGACTGTAAAAATCGACAAAGAAAAACTTGCAGTCAAAGAAGACCACATAGGTAACCTAGAAAACTCTACCGATTCGACAAAAGCTTCCAGTCCTAACGCCACCGACAATCACGAGGCTCCAGTAGAGAATAATGAACCTACGGTAGAAAATCACGAAGCCGTGGCGGAGAATCAAAACCTTGAGAATCACGAGGCTGTGGTAGAAAATAATTTTAAACAAATAGTGCCTTCCTTAGAAACGATCAACAAAGTCGAGAACATTGAGAGCGTGCATTCGGAATTGGATATCAAGGACGAAGGCCCGATTTACGACTACACTCCGTGTCAGGTCGACAACGGTTACACTGCGAACGTCAACGCCAATTACATGATGATTAAAACTGAGCCTAATCCAATGAATTATTACGTGATGCAGCCGAATGCCGCGACTGTCGTTTCGCCCAATACGATCGTGCAGCATGGATCCGTAGTCTCGAATATCATACCACAGATGCAGCAAGGTTACTACGTTCACGGAGGGCAGAATTATATCATTCAGAATCCTCAAACTGGTTACGTTCCTCCTCCATCGTTGCAGCCTCAAGGGCCACAGATGATGGCTCCTCAACAATTCATCAATCACCCTGGTTACATGCCATACGTGATGACAGCGCCCCATCCGCCACAACGTGACTTCCTACCTGCCAATCCTCATTTTCTTCCACAGAATATACATCAACATCTTCCTGTTCCAACACATCCGAATCCCACGCAAAATAGATACCCGCATCCACAAAACAGATACCCATCACGCCCGAGTTATCCACACCCAAATGGCGCGGTTATAAGAAGCAATATGCCTATCAGAGGGACTTTTCCGCGAACTAATAACGCCAGACAACCCAGAAACCTTCCCCAGCAACGAGTGAATTCTGTCAAATCACTGAAACCAAGGAAACCGAGTGCACCTTCAGAAAATGCAACTCAGAATAAATCCAATTGTTTGATCGTTCTCAGCGACAGCGACGACGAGATCGAGATGATCGTTACTAAGAAAGCAGGTTCTGAAACGGGGAAAGCGAAGACCACGCCTCGTAAAAATGTTGTACAATCTAGGCATAAGCCAACTATTACCTCAAACGTCACAGTAGCCACACCGAAGGGTTCCATACCTCAACAGATAATACAACGTATGAGCCAAGGTGGCATCTCTATAACGCCTGTGAAGCCTGCTCAGCCGGTTCAAAGTCCGAACACGCAGTTGGTGGTGGTCGTTAACGATACTGGAAGCCATTATGCCTTAGCATTGCCCAACGGAAGCAAGCTCATCCTCACTCCTGAACAGGTGGCGCAGATTCGTGCTTCGAACGGTGGAAAATTAATTTTGTAAAATGAAATTTCCTCCAAACGGAGATGAACAACGCGAATGAACGTTTAGTGAGAGAATGGTAATTTTCGCAAGGGAACGTCGAAGCATATACGATCGACGCGTGTACAGTATGTCTCGATGTTTCCTTTGTTAGTAAATTGCAAATGGAGTGGACGGGGTGATGCACTTTGATCTCTTTCACTTATGTTATGATATGCTTTCAAAGCTGATGTTCCTGCAATATATAACATAGAGTATGATACTCTTCTCCCTCTTTTTATGCTTGGTGAATCAATTCGTAATGGAGTTTTAAAAGTGAAATATTATTAAGATAGACGAATACCTCTGAAAGTATGTGCAACTACTAATTTATGTTTGATTGAAAATTCAATTGATTCTATTACGTGTGTAAGTCGTTTGGGAAAATTGTGCAAGTTAGTTACATTCGATATGTATATCAATTTTTTACGTAGACAGATTTCTTATCTGTTTCTATAAACTACCGAAACGTGTTTATTAGTAACTGATAATTTATGTTATCAAAAGTGAATAACAAAAGTGTATAGCTGTACTATACTATTCTTTAGTATGTGATATTTCATTTATGAATATATAAATTATTCATATTATTTTATATATAGTTTGTATATTTTATAATAGTATATTAAACATTAAGCAAATTGAACGAGAAATTTCACCTTCTACAATCATTTTCGTTTAGATTTATAAATATGAAAAACTTCTTCCTCGCTGAAAAGATTTTTCTTTTTCTTTCTTTTTAAATTATTATATTTAAGTTTCGTGCAACTGTTTATGTAAGTACATCATCACCAAAATAGTCTAACTAGTAAATGTTGAGTTTCTAGAGGGAAACCATATGTATATTTAAAATAGTTTGTTTAATATATTGTATAAATTATATATACAGTATTTTATTCTAAACTCCACTCTGAAACATTCCATTATGTACATTAAATAGTGTTTCAAACGATTTTATTAAAAAAACTGAAGAATATATCAAATGTGTTCAGGTAAAATAATATAAAAAGAGACTTGCTAGTGCATTGTATATACAATCAGTAATATACAAAATCAAACATCATATTTATTCACATATATTACTATATCTCTTTACAATGCGTTATGTTACAAATATATTACAAAAATATGCTAAGAAACCTTTGTACACTTTACAGTGAATAGGAACGTTAAATACTTTAATAACAACGAGCATGCTTTTAAATAAGATTGAGTCAGACTTTTAAAGCGAGAGAAAGTTACAGGAACTTGAATTATTTACAATTAACATTGCCAACATATTATACAAATTTATCAATAAGACAAAAATCGATCGAAGAGTTTGAAATGTTACGAAAGTTGAGGACATCAATTTATCGATGGATTAATGGCAACAAAAGCTTGATTATTCGAACTTGTTCCGTTAAGATACTCTCTCGGGAAGTTACGACGTAAAAATGATATTCTAAAATAATCGTCGACAATTTGTCAATAAGAGAGATACGTATGGAAGATTGTTCTCATCGCCTAACATTTTAAATCTGATTTTTATTCTTATACAGATCGCTATCAAAAGTAAGAAACCTTGACAGACGTGCTCCATTGTAAGGTGTTACACTTCCTGGCGGATGTAGTCTCGTCTAAAACAAAGATACATATATGACACTAATGTACAAACAGAGAATAAGTATGAGAAAAATTGAAGAGAATAGGTAATTATTTTATCCTATTTCTTTTTAGCTGAGACTTAATGTGAAGTGCTACCTACCCCAGTGTACACATCTCTGATGCAGTCTTCTGATTCACTTCACGATTCAAGGTTCTGAATTTTACTTTGAGTAATAATATATAGATCTTATAATTTCTTGAATTTTATTTTTATATTTAGAAACATAAAAGAGCTTCAACATTGTAAACTAAGGTCAACTTAAAACAAATGAATTTCTTTGAAGTAAATGATGAAACAATTTGTATTAATGCAGCGAAATTTTATTCTTAGTTTGTGAAACAAGCTAGCATTCACGTGTACAAAAGTATCAAATGAAATCAACCGTTCACGACGTAATGAATAATGCAAAGTTAGTGAGCAAAACGGTTATAAAAATATCAGGAATTACGTAATATCGCGTAAAACTAGTTTCTGATCTCTCGAAGCAGCTTTTGAAGGCATCGTATGGCGGATTAATGATCAATTTGCCCAACTCCGTTATTGTTAGTTTTATTAATGTTATTGTCAAAAATACAGAACACCCACCAAGCTCGGAAAGTACAGAGCACCGGTACAGTTTAGTCCTTCTAATTCTAATATTTCAACATTAAAAGGAACAGTCTGAGAATATCTTTTAACGTCCAATCCTACCAGAATTTTACATACAGTAAAGTAACGATAATAATATAAATTAAATGCTTTGTACTATTACAGACTAAGGTAATCGTACCAGTAGTCACCAGTGTAAAGCTGTTTGCTACCGATGCTTTTCACCTTAATTATCTTGCAAATGTTAACTAAGTGATCGTGGAACTAATATAATTTTCTATTTTCAGGATTCATCCAACCGTTCAGGCGAATAGCAGTGGACAGTCTACTTCAACTTTCAAAAAAAAAAAAAAAAAAAAGTGCTTTACAATTATGAGACTGTGGGATGCAAGCTTGAGCATTAATCGCGCATTGCAAAATTGGCACACGCAGTTTCGGCCGTGCAGCACTGATTCTCATCTATTTCTTGACGAAGTCATCCGCAGCTTTCTCATTCCCTTCCGCGTTTCTGAATCGCTTCTGCAAGAAAAAAAAAACCGACACCAATCCGTTACACGTGATGGACACGGCGCTACGATGATCGGATGATGCGTGCATCTTGGGTAAAACTGACATTCGCTTGGCATACTTTTATCGTGTGCTCTTCAAGGTTCGATTAGAGACTTTTCGTTTTAATGAAATTCATTGTGCAATTTTATTTTCATCATGGTGGACACAAAGTTAGTTTTGATAGAATCAGGAGGATCTAAGAGGGCCTTCTGAATCATGTTGTTGAAGAATACTTTAAATGATATTGATGAAGTACCCTTAAGGATTAACATATAATTAATGTATGTAGTTAATAGTCTCTGATCGAACCTCGTGCCATGGAAGTGTAGACGCGTTAACGAAACACGCCATGAAATGCGGCTAAAGCACACAAGCCCCAATAATTTTATATGGAGATATACATTTCAATATGATTTCTTCACTATAGTTGGAAATTCCTGCTTTAACTTCATCTAGCTCGCTCTCTACTTTACTGTGAAGCGCGTAAACTTCTGCATACCGTATCGTTCGCATACTAATACTATATTTGTTGTTTTTCTGATGACTGCTTTCGACGAAGAAATTTCAGTGGGCCTGGTGATCTCATCGATGATGACTCACCATAATTCTGTATTTCTCTTTGCAGGCGTACTCCGTTTCGTCCACGTCGTTGTAACAATCGCTTTTGTAATCTGGAGGTATCGGTTTCCCCTCGAATTGGCACAGCTTGGATAACGGTTTCGCGTTTACGATCATCTTCTTGAAACCCGTTGGCTTCTGCTGCGGGCAGTAGAACACGTCTGGGGTGTTTTTGTCGAAGACGATGCTCTTACGCATCATGTCGCCTGCTTCCGCTGTGACGAGGAGGACCTAATCAGATACAATAGAGTAAACTGCATGACGCTCTATGAAAGAAGATTATCGGTTCAAAGCTAAGAGACTGCACCAGCAGATAATGATAATTTCCAGTTGATAGAACAGGCTGTTTTTCTATTAAAAGATAAATCAGTAGCTCTGCAATAACTAGGAATTAACAATAATTTAGCTCTATTAAAAAACAGCTTACGTGTACCTTAATTTAAAAGAGAGAGTATCGCATATTTAAAGCATATTTCTCCATTACTACTCTGTAATTAGGAGGGAGTCTACGTCCGTGAAAGTATCTTCAATAGGCCTTAATTGAAACAACATTTGAAACACATTTTCTCCTGTTTTCCCCGTGATCACGAGAAAGGTACTGTTAATACTCTATTTGTTTTTAATACCGTGAAATATTTATTCGCAAAACAATTTGTAATATTTATAGTGGTATCAAGATTGTTTAAACCAGAGTGTCTTTATCTCGACATAAGAAAACAGACGTTTGGTCCATCGTGAATCGATTATATGCACTTTACAGTGATTCATACATCATTTATCTAACTTTCCATTCGTGAAAGGATCAATGTTCCGTGAGTTTATGCAACAGAGTATAAGCGCAGAATTGGTAAACGATTTTCCTTCTGAAGTTGCGTAAAGTTGTGACAGAGGAAGAAGGAAAAATATGGAAATGGTCCGAGAGCGTGGCCAGTGCCAAGACATCGTCGTTTTCCCGATTTCTCTCCGTGATTCGACATGCTTCGAGTTAAACTTACGACGAGCATGGCCGCTATACTGCAAACGTGCGCGGTCCCTGAAAAAAGAAAGAAAACACCAACTTCAGTTTTTGGTATGTATTCTTCTGTAATTTAAAGGTAACTGGTAATGCAACGCTTGTCTTTCTGAGTGAACGATTGCTACCATGAAAATAACCGCCTCATTTGCATCACTTTGCACGCATTGAAAATATAATTGGCAATTTTAAACAGGTTTCATTCGGTGCGTCAAAAAGTTGTGCAAGGGAGCGCGTGAACGTACTCTGTCATTAAGCAGACGTAGTAAACTGTGAAAACTGGGCCGTCTGGTAAGGGAGTCAATGCCGTGCGACAGACAATCCCTTTTCCGACGAGTCATTCTTACGGTCTTGAGGATAGAGTCACATTGTCTTCGCAGTACAAGAAAAACAACAATTAATTATGTGAATAAATGTTTCAGAATCGCATTAAAGCCTGAGATAGATCAGCGTGTTCATGGTGAAATGCAAAACAGTTGCAGGAACGGTTCCCTTGAGCTAATTTTTTGTTACTTTACCTATTCAATTATGAGAGAATATAATCACACCGTCTTTGCAATATAAGGAAAATGATTGATTATGCAAATAAAAGCTTCAGAGGTGCGTTATAGCTAGAGGTAGATCAGTACGGATGAATACGAAATAGTTGCAAGGTCAATGTCCTTGAACTGATCTTTGACTCTATTATTGTGAGTGGGAGGATACACTCGGCCAGGCACTATTTTTATCTGATCTACCATCGATCCTAAGCAGCGCTCAAGCACGTCTTTTGCAAGGACGACGAGGTCGTGGTTCCGCGTGGTGTGTTTGATATCAGGCTGCTCCTGTTTCAGGATACAGATCACGCAGAACCGATACCCCTCTGACATTTCGTTAACAAGATACGACACTTGCATAAACGCGACCTGCTTTTCTAGTTATACATTTTAATTTACACCTCGTCGTTTAAAAAATAGTAAAAGAAGAAAGTTAAGCAAACTATATATATACTTTTCTAAGTTACAGATATTTTTGCTTCCCTTCATTCCGCAAAAGGAGAGAAAAATCAACCTACTTTAAAACGTGGATTTGCATTCTTTTTTACTCATCAAGATGTTCTTATTCTTTTCTAGGTCAATGCTTAACGAGGCGCAAGCATGCGAGTGTTACGAACGTGATCGCTGATTCACCGTTTACCAAAATAAAAAAAAAAAAATGCGTACAGTGTTACATCATATGTACCACAGTACTTTCTTTTCGTGGCTTATAATTCGTAACTCAATTATTTCGATCGCTACCAGCAAGCAGACGCGCTTCAACGTTACTTTTCCTTTCTGACATTTGTCTGTGACATTTAAACCATCATTCGTTCGCCGCGTAGCGTACAATGAAAGCCACCATGAATTAACTTCTTGATTAATATTAATACATAGCGCTCGAAATTTAAAAATTAATATTCAATATGTAATGTTATGCAATGCTACTTAAATGTAATATTTAAAATAATATGAGAAAAATATATTCCTGCAGTTGTCAAACTCTAAAAATACTTGTTACAACTATATCTTCCTTAAAAATCTAAAGCACAATTCTTCCATCTTTCAGAAAAATACTGAACAACTAAATTCTTCTTTCCAACGAAGCGGTCCAGAACGTTATAGAAATTCAATATTAGCAAAGTTCTTCAAATACATTGAGCATGGTAATTTTGTATCGTTATAGCCATTTAGATACTATTGTTCTGTCAGCAGAATAGCGTCAGCAGAGCGTCTAACATTATGAATACATAGCGTGTCTCATCCCGCATACCTTAACAAGTATGCAGCGTGGGTTTCGTCTACAATTTATTGCTTTCGCGGCCCAAACGAGTCCCAACATGCTCGAGCTGTTCACTGCCCAACGCAGTATCTGGACTTTTGTCCAATTGGTTTGTGTGAACAGATCAGTTTATAAGGAAAACTTACCCATGCTGATGATCGCTTTTTGCACGAGCAAGAACACCTGTTGATCCACGCGAGACGGCGTCTCTTGGTTGACTGAGATCGCAGCGGATCCGCGCTACCCGGAGGCTCTGAAAGTGAATGCCGTTATAACGTACAGGACCTCTAAAAAGCAATGGACTAACAGTACACTGAGTCAGGGCCTGTTGGAGATCCAATAAGACATGGATCACTTATGTTTCAATTAAAAAAAAAAAAAAAACAACCACTGAGCTTATTGTAGGAAATTAATGGTAGTTTTTCTTATTATTATACCTTCTCGCATCTATTTAAGAACCTGTAGTATTATTAAAAACAAAACTTCTTTGTACAGTTGCGCATAGAAGTTCTATATAGGCATTGGAATAAAAAAAGGCTATGAATAAATAGGCCTGGAATAGAACAGCCTTGGTAGATAAAGTGTTAAGTAGAGTTTTCTTTTAATACTTCTTTTCATAAAGAAAACAAAAATTGTATAGCCAATGTAGTTTAGAGAGATGGAAAGATCAGTCGCTCAAGAGGGAATGGAAGTCTAAGATAGATTAGTGTGTAATGAAGTACTGATATCAAATGTAGTATTGATACATTAAATGAAATATTTTGAATGAATAGAAGCAGTTGGGAATTTTTGATAGCGTGAAAACAAATGGAGTGGGTATAGCGTGGGTGGACGGTCCTCGTCCTTCCCATATTTAGACTCGATAGTGTCATCAATTTGTGGTGGGCTTTTTCTCAAGGATCGCTTTTTTTTTTAATTAGAATACGTGCAACGGATGTGTTGTCACGCAGCGTTCTTTTATTTTGTTATTGTTTCTATATAATGATATGTACTGAATGTTCTTTTACCAGAATTGATAAACTTCACCAAGGACAAGTAATGCTCAAGTAAATCCAAAGCAATGTCTGAGGCATCCATAAGCTTATTTGGTTCAATAAGAGTACACAACTCTTTACTCTGTACACTCTCTCCCACTTTAAATACATGTTTGAATATAACATTATTACTTTATTATATTAATATATCTACATGATACTTCTACATTGCAGAAGTATTCAGAGAAATGGTGTTTGAAACAATTCTGCGATACTTTACAAATGGTTTCTACTACATTCTTTCACCAAGAGAATAAATTCTTCATAGGCATTAATTACCAGTTACTACTACACAATTAAACGACAAATTGAAACTAATGAAACAAAAAACATAAGATATACAATTTAGAGAAAAGGAAGAAAAATAAAACATTGAAATCATTATAATTAATAGTGTGTTAAGTGTAAAGGGGTATAAATAATGAAATTTTGGATAAAAGTGGCTATTATACTTGTAGTATACATGTTTTATAAGGACCAACAACGCAAATGATTGTTTTGAAGTTGCTCATCAAGAGAGGGAAGATTATGTTCAGGTTAACAAGGGTTTTGGAATACATTTGGACTTATAATAAATTATAAAGACTGATGAGAAAAAGAACAACAATATATTGAAAGTATTTTATTGAAAAAGGTATACAATTATTATGTAAATGATCTATACTCTACTGTTGCATTTAATTTATTGTACTATTACTCTTGTAATATATATTTTCTTATACTATTAAAAACTCATTTTTTCATACTCGTACATAATTAAGTATACTATATAACATAATCACAGCTCTGATATTAATTTAATAATTAAATTAATGGCTATTTAAAAAAAATATTTATAGTTGAAATTTTTCTCTTTCATGTTAATCGCCATTTGGTGGTAAATAGGGCGAACTAAAATTCGAAGTTTAGTCAACGCCTCTATCGGGAAAACGCCCAAGTTTGTCCTCAAATAGTTCCCCCTGTCAACGTTAGATGGCACCATTTGTTTGTTAAAAAAAAATAATAAGGGATTCAAGGGTTGCAGAATAATTCTCATTTATATTTTAATATCACAATGCTTGTCTACTAATTTTTTATAAGATATATTTATTTTTTATATTAATATAAACAAATGGCGCTATCTAGCGTTGACAATGGGAACTAATCGAGGACAAACTTGGGCGTTTTCCTGATAGAGGCGCTGACCAAACTTCGAATTTTAGTTCAGGTTGTTCACCACCAGATGGCGATTAACATGAAAGAAAACAATTTCAACTATAAATAATTTTTTTAAATAGACCCTTAATTCTTACAATATATTTAAAATACACACATACAAATGTAAAAACAGATATATTCATTCTGCATAATTAGTATAAATACATTAAATTCGTTTCAAATTCTCCTTGAGTATAAAAACACACATACTTTCGAGCAGTGAGAATCTTTTGTAAATCGCCTATTTGCGTTATTAGAGTTTATCCAAGTTTATCTTTCGCTTGGATTTACTATAGAAGCTTTATAACCCTCCTTTATTATCCCTAAATCATCTCCAATTACCTAAGCTCTTATCAAACTATGAGTTTTCTCTGTCTATTGTTATTGTTATTATTGTCAGAAAAGGCGCGCATCGTAGAATTTGTATCACTTGTAGGAATTGAAATTATCCAGTCGTTCGTTTAAAATTAAGTGCAATGTAACCCGACCTAAATTTCTTGTTTACAGTTGAGAAAAACGTGTAATTTATCGATTTCTTACATTTATTGCTAAAGCGTGTAATCAACAATTACCCATTATGTTCTAATAACAAAGTTGTTACATTTGTTTAGGTTAGTTTTATTAAGGTATCGTCTGCTCCTCGTACTACTTGAATTATTTTTCCAGTTAATACATACACTTTACTTTATATCAGTTTTTTAACTCGTAGATCGTGTTACAATTCCTACAATTTAAGTAAAATGGATCTAGACAAAGAAGAGTTATGTCTGGAATTGGATGCTGAAGAAGATGCTCTTCTTAATGAAGCCATTTGTATGAGATCAAGTGAGCTTGATAAAATAATAGAGTCAAATAAAAATGTTGTAAAACCTAAAAGTCCTGTTAAGACTGAACCTGTGGAAAATAATTCGTATGACAACAAAGATCAGAAAAAAGAGGAAGATACCAATTTAAATGTACAAGATAATAAAGTCAAATGCGAAGAAAATAAACTAGCTAATGGGAATGCCATAAAATTCGAAGATAATGTAAGAAATAAGCCAGAAGATTTATATAGTTTTCGCAAAAGACCTGGAGAAAAGAATGTATATTGCGAGGATAGAAAATTTTTACGTACTAGGCGTAACAGTGATTCAAGTACCACTACAAATTCTTCTGACAGTAGTAGAAGACGCATAGAATACGAAACAAATCCTAAAATATTAGCACATAGGCAAAAAGAAATAGATTATGGAAAGAATACCATCGGATACGATAGATATCTTGAGGCTGTGCCTAAGTAATGATTTTATATGCAAAGATATTATTGATGGGATATTGAAAAATTTCTTAATATTCACATTATATATTTTTAAATTCATTTCAGAGATAAGCGTACAAGAGAACACCCAAGAACACCTCCAAAGCATATTAAATACAGTAGAAGAGGATGGGACGGCATGGTAAGATTGTGGAGGAAGCAACTTCATCAATGGGATCCTCCACAAGATAATGCAGATTAAAGTAGTGTTATGTTTAAACTTTGTTTCATTACATTGATATGTTATGATAATCTTTACAGTTCTATGTTTTTTACATACATGTATAAAATTAAAACATTCAAGAATTAGGTGAGATCTAGTATAAATTTTGGTACATTCTTACACAGTGTATTATAAAAGGTTTGAAACACATAATACATGTAGCTTTAGTACATATAATTTTAAATTACACTCGTTTGCTAAATCGAAAATTTAAAAAATTTTGTGACATTATGATGTCTATATGAAAATGGATAACCATGGCAAAATGAACTACTTCCAAGAAGTTTATCAATTTTTTGAATTTTCGAGTTTATGAAAAAAATATTACAAAACAGTATTATTTTCAAAATCATTGTTTTTTCTTCTATTGTACATATTGAGTTACATTAAATACACGATTTAGTTATTTACAAGTGTACTTATTTCATTTAAATGGTATAAAGTGAATATCACTTGGCATTAAATTGTGATTCTAATTTTTGTAAAATGGTATCCAGTTTTTGGTTGGTCCTTTGCTCCATCTCATCGATGCTTTTCATCACTTTTATTTCCATATCATGGAATTTATTATCAATATAAGTCTTAAGTTGCGTAATATCCGATACAGTCTCGTTCTTAGTACTGGTACCGAGCGCCGCCTCTTTTTCAGTACTTTCTTCGATACTTCTATTTTTCGATGAATTCAAGATATTCTTATAACACGATTGAACATCAATGGAAGCATCATTTTCTTTTGTATTAAAATTTAGCTTAGTAAGGAAATTTTTAATTATTTCAGGATTAAAAATATCAGTCGGAAAACTCGTAGAATCGTTATCAGGCTCTGTTAAGTAGAGCTTTATACCATATACCCACATACCTAAAGTTTTGCTCTTTATTTTTGTAAACTGAAATGGAAAATTCTACTTTGAGTACCTTTTCTTGAAACTTTTAAAACTGTATTGCGTGTAATTCTTATACCTTAATGCTAGCTTCTGTAGCAGATGGAATAATTGCAGTTTCCGCGATGTAAACAAAGCTATCCTCAAATTCATCCTCGAATTCTGCAAATACTGTTTTTTCATATTCACCAAATTCTTTGAAAAACTCTAACACATAGGCCTCTGACACTACAGCAATATGAGATATCCTTTGATGGTTAGTCAGTTTTATATCCAGCATGCATGGTTCTTTGGATTCAACTGGTTGCAATAATATACATGTATCCAAGGAAACTATATCATCGATATTAATCCTGTAATCAAAGTCAGATTGCTTTTTTATTGAATATGCTTAAAATGAGATGTTGATATATTTTCATTACTTCTCAAGTTTTTGAGACGAGGCTGCTATGGTGAAGGCATCGTGAAACAGTTTATTATTGATCTGCCAATTGCACGAAATTTGTAAAAAATCCTTGTTTAACAGTGAAGAAGAATTGTCAAGTCGTTCATTGTTCGAATGTTCCATCGTACATAAACAATAACTAATAGATTCCTCTACAAATCATTGAATGTTACAATTGCTGCACGATTATGTTTGCTATTTGAATAACATCATTTAAAAATATATTTAAAAGTAACTTCAATACTTGTGACATTTACGAAGGTTATGTCTATTTATAATCGAACAAGACGACTTTTCTAAAAAATCACACAATTCTTTATTATCATAGTAAAACTGTATACAGTCAGTAATACTTGTATTTTAAATACAGTCAGTAGTAATTGTACTTCTAAACATTGTTATCGAATGCTATTTTATGCTATCTATTTGATACTGTTTTTGTATATACGTCAGTGGTCAGTGTTTCTCAAACTGTAATTTGTGGACTTTTGAAACGCGTTGATGGAAAAAATGAGGCATAAGAGGCAATAAGCAAAATTGTAAGTATAATTAAAAAAACACAAAATTAATGATTAATGATTAATGATTAAAAAAACACAAAACGAACAACAGATAAGTGATAAGTTGATAAGTTTTTACCCAAGTCACATGGTTTCACTACAGCCTATCATTTCGCCAGTAATTGCAAAGAAACGAAGTTTTAGGAACGCCGTGACGTTCAATAAAAACTAACCTTTCTCTTCAGTGGCGCGAAATATTTCGCTGCTTACTAAATGAAAACGTAGGGAGATAAAGTATTAAGATCTGCAACTGTGTACGGCTCTCAACAAGCCATTTTTCAATGAATACTAATTTCTGATTCTACAGTTGAGAAATTATCTGTAACTGAGATCGTTGAACGACAGAATGTGGTCGTGTAAAATTTTAAATAAGGTGCTCGCACGATCGAAATCTGTGACAGGTGGTGGGGGTTTACGAATCAAGCAGTTGTGCCGGAGTATTGAGCACAGATCTGCGCTGGTTAATCGTGTTTCTCTTTTACGCGACTTTGGTTCTAAAACAAAAATGTCGAAATACGTGATTGTTATGGTACGCCATGGAGAGAGCGAATGGAATAAGTTGAACCAATTCTGCGGATGGTACGATGCCAATTTATCTGAAAAAGGTGAGTGATCTTATGATGGCAACTCTTGAGAGTGGCTTCAAGGGCAAAAGGTCGAGCTGATTGAAATATCATAACACGCTTTTTAAGATCTATCGATGCATTTCGTTATCGTGTCCATGAAACAGTTAATAAATACTGTAATTTTACACTTATAGAATAACAAGATATAACCTTTATTTTTTCTGAATTTAATCCCTTCAAGCCCATGGTTAGATGCATATCCTTCTTTCTTAAAAACACATCTCTATTTTTGATTCATTCAAAGAATTAATGAATTCCATTCCATAATAAATATTCTGTAACATGTGATCACAATTCTAGGCAGAAAAGAAGCAGAAGCTGCAGGAAAGGCAATAAAAAATGAAGGTTTAGTCTTTGATGTTGCTCATACATCAGTATTGACAAGGGCTAATGACACTTTGGCAGCAATTCTTAAGGAAATAGGGCAAGAGAACATTCCCATTCACAGAACATGGCGATTGAATGAACGTCATTATGGAGCTCTCACTGGATTGAACAAAGCTGAAACAGCGACCAAATATGGAGAAGAGCAAGTACAAATTTGGAGAAGGTCCTTTGATACACCACCTCCACCTATGGAACGAGACCACAAGTATTACGATGTCATAGTAAAAGATCCACGATATGCCAATGAACTGAAAGAAGAAGATTTTCCTAAATTTGAATCTTTAAAATTGACGATTGAGAGGACTTTACCATATTGGAATAATACTATTATTCCACAGTTGAAGGAAGGAAAGCGAATTATCATTGCTGCTCATGGAAATAGCTTGCGTGGAATAGTCAAGCATCTGGATCGTAAGCAGTTATTTTTTCAAAGAAAGGAAGTTTTAAATAATTGTATATTAACTCCATTCCTTTTTCAGAGATGAGTAACGAAGATATCATGGGATTGAATCTGCCAACTGGTATTCCATTCGTCTACGAATTAGACGAAAATTTCAAACCAGTTGTGTCTATGAAGTTCTTAGGCGACGAAGAAACTGTCAAGGCTGCTATAGCTGCAGTTGCCGCACAAGGAAAAGCTAAGTAAAGCCAAAGGTGCTTATAAAATGAGAACTCTATCTGTGCGCGTATATGAAAACTATTGACTAGTTTCTAGTTTCATGTTTATTGTTAATTTCAATGTTATAAAGCATACTCAATTGTATGCTTATAATAAAACAAAGAAACAGATTCAAATACAGTCATTATTTTTCAGTAACTGTTAAAATGCATTGTAATTTATTAAGAGAAATATTTATTGAAAACCATTATAAGGTGTGATGAAAGAAGTATAAAAGTACAAAGATAAATCTAATCTAATTATTTTTCCTCCTATGCTTTCAAAAAATATTCAAATTTTAATTATTAGTAAGCAAAGTAAGTAACAAAAATTGAAGTGTAAAATGTAGTAAGTTTTGATGCATGTTGTACTAATTGAAGTGAGCGAAAATTAAAATCATGTTGATCATTCTTTAATGCAAACAAATATTGATATAACATAACCTATTTTATAATTCGAAAAGAATACAAAATTGTAACGAAATGTGTTGACAAATGAAAATTCTAAAAATATATTTTCGAACTTAAATATCAGCAAGCAAACTCAAATATAAAAAATTCGGTAAGAAAACGATATTACAAAAATACCTCGGCAGATTTATTTTTGTTTTTAGATTATTATCTTCTATAGAATAATAGTGTTGTAACATAAATAATTTATTTAAATTGTGACAAATAAAAGCGCCATCTATAACAAGAAATGAATTATTAAGTGCGTTGTGTAGGTACTTGATTTGTTGGTTGACTTTCCATTTTTGACCAGATAATGCTGAATCATTAATCAAACAGTCGTTCGTATCGAATGACACGACAATCATTTGAACTTTATTTACAGTGATTAAACAGTGATTCATTGCTGATTGAATACATATCGAGATAATTCTAACCTAAATGTTACAGAAAAAGATAGTATTTATTTCGCTGTAATAATTCTATATTTCGGAGGAGTTAACATTGTTTAGGCATGAGACGGGTCGACTTGAAAGTCGTATTACTGGGTAACGCGGCTGTAGGGAAGACAAGTCTTGTGGAACGTTTCGTAAACGAAAGATTCAATGAGAGTCTTTCCTATCAAAATGTAAGTGTACTTTATAAAAAGATACATTACATACTAGATTCTCTTTTTAGGTATTTACATTATCAAGCAATTCCTATGATTCTTGTTAAATTTTACACTAAATAATTTGAAACGAATTTGCATCAAGTTTTTGTAAGGAATGCGAAAGGGTCGATATTATTAAATTTTGTGCAAATTGTAAAAACTTGGGTCGATCGAGAGATAATACTAATTTAGGCCGTCTTGTTTCTCTTAGTCCGCGGCATGGAAGGAATATTCTAAAATAAAGTTATTAAGATTTGCGCTGAGAATCGTCTAGAAGGTGCATCGTAAAACAAATTAACTCAGTTCCACTTTCCTTAGACTATAGGCGCTGCGTTTGCAGCTAAACAAATACAACACGATGGGAACAAGTTTATTATGGGAATATGGGACACTGCAGGCAGCGAAAAGTAAGCACTCAGTTTCTTTTAATTTCTCATTGTTAAATTTTGTTGCTAATGATGTATATTCTTGTAGATATGATGCAATGACTAGGATATATTACCGTGGAGCAAAAGCTGCTGTAGTGTGTTACGACATTACGAAATTAAATACATTTCAGAGGGCAAAATTCTGGGTAAGGGAGCTCAGAAGTGTTGAAGAGGATTGTAAAGTATATATTTGTGGTACAAAAAAGGATATCTTAGACCACGGTGCAATTCCATCACCTGAAATAGATGTTGTGGAAACATATACAACAGGCATACAAGCTAAGTTCTTCATAACATCTAGCAAAACAGGGGAAAATGTTGGTAAGAATATACACACACATGTTAGACTTGCATCGATACTATAAATCGTATATATTTATTAGTCCATATTTTTAGCTGAATTGTTTAATGAAATTGCACAAGACTTTATATCCGACCCAGTGAATGTACAAAGTATAAAAGAGACAATTGATGTAATCGAAGAGCCTAAGAAAACACATTGTTGTTCGTTTACGTAACAAAATGGATATTAGAAGTTACTATAGTTCTCTTATCTCTCGTATATTATACCGCTCTATGTAAGTGAATGTTGTAAATGCAGATCAATGTGCAATATACTTAGTCAGGATACATACTTGCACGTACATGTAAAGGAAACTTCTACCCTTGAGATCTATTTTTAAATATACTTATTTTACATTTTTGTAATACTGTTCATACTTTTTTTTTTTATGAAGCATATACCTTTGAGAAAAATTGTGGTAAATATAAAGTTAGCGTATTACGATCCGACAATACACTTTTAAAAATGTAATTTTCAACCTTTGTCACGACTAGGTCATGGACAAAAATTTATTAAGTTATAACACATGGTGTTACTAACATCGATAAAAATGTGAAGTGCAAGTATTCGAATTTGCCTTATATTTAATCCAGTGCCTTTCTTTAGTAAAAGAAAATTTATTCCAAGATAAATCGCGGTCCCTTTTAAGAGCTATAATAAAAGATATTATAAGGAACAATGTATTATTATTTTAAAAAATAGACAATTGTATTCGTTTTTATTACAGTGGCATTACCTTTTGTTATAAATCTCTATAAATAAATGCTTTGCTGGTGCGCTTGATTGAGCAATATGACGTGTTTGACGAGAAACGTGTCCGTCACCAATATTTAGTTTTTAAAACGTTACGGCGATAGGATTTCCCTAATTTTCTCATAAACGCCAAAGAAAACGAATCCGCTAATGGTAAAGCCGCCCACTCTTGGAAGAAAGCCTGCAAAAAGCCTAGGGACGTTAGGCACCAATTATTATTTGCGTAACAATGATAATTTTCAATACAAAATTTGACAATGTCTATACCCTCTCATGCCACAACTTCGATAAACCTCCTTCAACATTATCGATATTTTTACTTCCTCTTTATCTGCCGACGTATTCGACAACATTATTCTAGTTTTTGCAACGTCCAAAGGCGTCGTCACAGCCGCGGATATAGCCACTATAAAAAAAATCAATGATTACATAAATATTTCGTTGCGGCGTTTATAAATAGGTTATACATTAAATGCAATTTTTATTTTTTCTACCTGATACTGATCCACAGAAGGCACCTTCCACAGGTGTACATTCGCGGCCCGCTTGTCGTGTCCAACAGAGTTTAAAATATTCCCACAGGGGCATTTGAACGAAACCAAACGGTAAATCGCGAAGCACAGTGCTCCCATAGCCACGGTATAAAGTTCTTAGTGCTAATCTTTGTCTATCGTGTAAAAGCGCTTGTTTTCTTTGTTTCACTACTTCTACTGGGACCCGAATAAGGCATGCGACCTGTTAGTAGAATCTCAAATCATATTGGTGATATAATTTGGTAGATCGTATTTTTAGAAAATTGAGCTTTAACCCACCATTGTATTCGAATTAAAGAATTTAAAAAAAGAAAGAAATGTAAAACTACGAAATATCCTGATATTCAGAAGGACCACTAATTTTTTTTCTTCGTGAACAATCCTTGTTAGGATCTAAGCGTATATAAACAAATTTTACCATTTCTCCAAACGACGCGGCGATCATATGTATAAACGAGTGATACTGTTGAGGTATGTGAGGTTGTAAAACTTCTTTGATTCCGTCGTAAGTTATAAAGAATATGGCAGCTGCAAGTAATGTGCTTATTAGTACGAAATTATTTTTGTTGATTGGAAAAAGTATGATTAATCGGAATTTACCGGACGGGGGGGATCCTGCCATCACAGGACCCAATCCCCGATACAACCGTCTAAAACCGCCAGATTTAATGAAACCATGCTGGCTTTGCAAGCGTGTTTTAAGCGTATCCAATGGGAAAAATGTCAAGTCGCAAACGGTTCCTGCGAGGGCACCTGACTGTCGTGAATTGAAAATAATATTTTAATATGCATCTGCAACATGATTTACGCAGGAATCGCATTAGAAGTTGCGGGGTACAATTAAAACTATTTTTTGACGAGGTACCTAGATTCGCAAGGTCTGTTCAAGTGAAATATTAATTTTATTTGCGATTTAGAAAACTTTCTTCTAAAGTCAATGTTAATATTATTAAGTACAATTGCTTTGTTGTCACATCTGTACATGTGAATTTGATAATTTAAAGTTATGTAAAGGTCAGCATATATCTACGCGTTTAAATTCTTTTTTTTAATTAGCTACATTACTGCGTTAGTAAAAATGTCGGTAATCTTAAGATATCGAAAAAATATGGTGCTAAAAAAATTATTTCTTTGTGACAATTTTCTTTCTTAATAATTTTCGTACGTTACGTTAAGAGGAAATTATCTAAAATTAAAATTACTTTAAAATATCTTCGTAAAATCCAGGACAGAATAAGAAACGCCTGTTTTTTCGAGAACTTATGTACAATTAACATTAAAATTTTTGCAATACTGATATATGTCCACCTGAAATAATTTTAAGCAAGCGATAAACACTCGTAGAAAAAATTCCACCTCAACATCGAAGTCCGGATTCTGAATAAAATCGTAAGAAAATGATCACTGAATAATCTTCACGAATCTACTGACAACGAAAAAAAAATCTGACACGTGGATTAGTGATAGCAGTAACTAACACGCGTACAAATCGATCTTATACTAATTACGCAAATATGAATTGTTTACTTACGATAGATGATGTGAGGATAACATTTATCGTGTCTGTGTTCCCCTCGAAATTCTTGTCGTGCAACATTTCTGGTTAGTGTTATAGTTTCTTATCGCGTTAACATTTTCAAGACTTGTGAAACATACTAATGAAACGATTTAAACGTGTTGCTAAATTAATAAGCTAAAAAGTATCGTTCGAAAGATTAACCATTGTAAAGAGCTATTTGACAGAACGTTGAACACGATTTATGGGAAGTACAAGTGCGATATGTGCTTTAAGATTTTACGATTGTTCGTAGACGTTAACGAAATTGCTACGCGTTATCAACGAGCACGTGTATTTATTATGTAACGACATCACAAGTTAACCGTCGTTTACTTTCGTTGTAACCAGTTATAACTGTCGATACCGTAGCTAACCGTAGTCCACCGTAGTCTGCTAGCTCGTACCTAACCTAACCTCGTACGCTACGAAACCGAACCAAACTGAACAAACCACTGTCTTATTATAGGTTAGGAGAGGCTTTTGTTTTTTAGGGCAATTTCTCACTAGCGAAAACACAAAAATAGACGAAGATGCGTGAGAGAATATTACTAGACGCGATATATTACATATATATAGGGGATCACGACGCAATTACGTCATGAAAGCCGTTGGATTCAGTATGAGGAAATTCTTGGCTTTTCTATTTGCTGTATTCTGGTCGGTCGGGAGCGCGAAGGAAATTTCCGAAAAATGATCAAATTGATGTTTTAGGTATCATTAAAGTGTTCACATAACCTCGAAATTTCGTTGACACCACTTTGGGCGGGAATCTCGAAAGATTTATACTTTCGCACGATCGTCCAGAAAAATGTCGCAAACCATTTTGAAAAGCAGCTTGGAAAATGCTTCCTTCAATATTGTGTTTCAGGTATTTTACCAACGTAACGACCGTTCGAACTATCGTAATTATTTCATGGCGAGAACTGTCGTTTCGGTTTCATTGAAAAGCTTTATTTTACCTTTACAGCAAATCCTCGACTTACGCTATTTATTCATTTTAAAGATTTCCGAATTAAATTGTATAAATCCACTGTATTTCTAGGAAGAAAGATCAAATATGGTTCAAGAATAATTGACACTATTAGAGAGAGGGGAATGTAGATACTGTCAAATAATTTTTACTTGCGAAAAGTATTAGTTGCAAGCCTTGTGAAATTTGACCCTGCTCTGATTCTGCCTACAATACATTTGGTGTACTATCTTATACATATTCTATTATAAAAAAGACAAAGAAACTTTATTTGGCAAACTCTGTATCAATGATTTTATACAACCCAAAATTGTGTAACTGGAGGACTTACTGTAAAAGCAAACAATACTAATATTATCGATATTTTAAATTACTATATCTAATTACTGATAATCTGGAAGAATTATTTCTTCAATATAATAAATCTCCAAGGAATTGTAGCACATAGTAATTATAACAATTTTATTTGTAGATCCTATGTCGAGGTGTCACGTTTGTTTTAAATGCTTTTGTTGTCCGACACGTGGGCCAAGCAGTTCTGGGAGTTATAAATGTTAGATTGCTGCTGCTGGAATCAATGATCCTATTCTTATCCAGAGAACCATTCATGAAAGCATGTTTAACAAACACAGCAGAACATAATTGGGCCCAAGTTGTTAATTTATTATGGATGACGTTAGTTCTCAAAACAAAATAATCCTAAACTATATAATAACACTTAATAACACTGAAACACACTTTATAATATTTTTACAGGGTTCCTATTTGCTTTCTAATGTCTGTAACATTTGGATATATCTGGCTTTCTATCTTATCAACAGCTGAAGCATTACCGCCATATTACACATTTGCAGTTTGGGCAGTTGCTTTATCTTGTATTATCGAATTGTCATCTTTAATTGTACAACTGGTTGCAAGTGCATTTTTGTTTGTTAGGCTGAAAGTAAGAACTCGACTTAAAACTGTTTGAATTGATTCTATCTATCCTGTTGTAAGAAATAATTTTTTTAATTTTTTTAGATTATACTCGATACTATCATGATCGCCATTCGTACCATGACGTTTGTACCATTGATACTTCACAATCCAGAAAATGCGTTATTCGCATTTGGCGCAGCTCAACTAATCGCGGCAATATTTTATACTACTAGTCACTATGCATATTTTCATTATTATATTAAAAAAATGAATAAGTGTAAGTTAAAGAGAAGAATGTCGATAAAAGACAATAGCGACGAATACGTCGTGAGAGAATTTCCATTCGAAACAGTAAAAGACTTTTTGCCTGGATATCTAGAGAACAAAGTATGTATTAAAACGCATCTCGTATATATAGCGCTTGTACAAATAGTTATCTTTTAGGAATCGTACTTAGATAAAAAATTGACTATCCTTACATGGAGTTTCTTTAGACAAGGAATTTTAAAACAAATTCTGACTGAAGGAGAAAGATTAATTATGACAGTAATGCCAGTATTAACATTCACTGAACAGGTATTTAATTACAGATAAGTATTTAATTATCCTTCTTGTTTAAAAAATTAACACTGTTTTCGTGTTTTTAAAGGGAACATACGAAATTGTGAACAATCTAGGTTCTCTAGCAGCAAGATTTATTTTCCGTCCAATAGAGGAGAGTGGGTATTTCTATTTTACCCAAATGATCAAACGTGACAAACCAATTAATGATCAAAATCCTGTAAGTAGCTGACGAGAGGTAGAAATACGATACACATCATTATGGAGTAATTAATAAAATATGTGCTTTAGGTAAAAATTCAAGAAAGCGTAAATGTTCTTACACATTTATGTTCAGCCGTCACGTCTATCGGTTTGGTCGTTTTGGTGTTTGGACAGTCTTACTCGAGCACTCTTTTATGGTTGTACGGCGGTGCAAAGTTGACTTCGCATCTACCAATTCTTTTAATGCGAGCGCATTGCTTGGCTATTCTATTGTTGGGAATAAATGGAGTAACAGAATGTTACACGAATGCAACAGCTGACAGTGCAACTATAAACAAAAGCAATTTAATTATGATTTACGAGTCGATCGCATTCTTAGGTGCATCGTACTTATTTGCCATTTGGTTCGGACCAGTTGGTTTCATCCTTGGAAATTGCGTAAATATGAGCCTAAGAATTGTCCACTCAACCATTTTCATCAACAGAAGATATAAAGATACGATATACCGTCCATTACGTGGATTAGTACCAAAGCCAATGTTTTCCGCTTCTCTTTTTATAGCAGCTTTAGTCACCAATGTGTCTCATGTAAGAGGATCATTCCATAACTTCCCAAGTATTATTGGAAAGTGTTGGATTAACATTTTAAACTTTGTACGTTTCAGACTTACTTCTTCCCTGACGATAAAGTCTTACATCTAATTATCGGAGTAATACTGTTTATAGTTGTACTTGTGTCTTGGATCTATGAGCATCACGATCTAATTAGGCTCGGTACAAACAAGTGGTACGAGCGCAGAAATAGACACAAGAAAAGCGACTGACCTTAACTTTGTTGATGATGATGGTTTATTGATATTTACATACAAATTATTTACAAAGGTGCTGCAGTGCAGAACTAATGTAAACCTTATAAAATTTAATAATTACATATTTTCTATACTGTTATAGTTCAAATCAACCAAGTGTAAGCTCCTTTATCTCAACGAAGTTACATAAAAATTATTTATTCAGAGTTTATGTATATACATGTATATACATATATATATTTAACAAGATAGTTCTAAACATAATGGACTTAGCTTAAATATAACCAGTATTATTAGTTCGAGTAACAGAAATTATTTTACACAGAGACATCCTTATAAATTGCACCTACAACAGGACCTTGACGTTGTATAAGGCATATCCTACAAAGTTATTTATAATGTTTTTCGTATTTATTATTAACTACATCCTTTTATTTAAAAAAACTTGTTCAGTTTCAATGTTGTTTTAATAAATTCCTCAGTTAATAATTTAAACTTAGCATCAATTTTCTTCCAATTACAAAGAATATAAAATATTAAAGTATAAAAATTTGTCTTGTTACCTGCTATCATTCTGAAGACATATGATTGGAGCAGACTGTTTGGGCTCCAATTTTGCAACTTGATCCGCGATAGCTGCAATTATTCCTGCGCTCTCTGTAGATGCATTCCCTTTAACTAAAAATATTTGTATTTTATTATGTTATTTTATGTTTATATTGAATTGGAAATATCGTTTAAAAGAAATACCTCCTAAACATAATCCTGCATGGTCAGCCAAAACGCAGCCAATTATGCCATCAGTATTATTTCTATAAATAAGATTTGTGATCATTTAACAGTTTTATGACAAAATTGTTCGTCAACTGATACAAATTTCAATAGAATCCGATGCATGCTAACAGAAATACCATGTTATACAAATGTTGACATTGTGAGTAATAATATAAACAACTATTAATATGCTTCTCCTTCCACGAGAGTAATATCTATTCTTCTATTTAACTTACACGTCATCCAGCGTTTTTTCTAAGTTTTTCTCCATGTCTTAGTTTGTGTTAATAAACTACTTTCGACAAGAATTAAATATTTACTGGAAGCAATTCGATTTGACGTATCTGTCACAAATAGTCACAAACGAACTATTGGGATTTGTTACGTTTACATATAAAAACCAATCAGAACTATGCCGCAACAGGTAATCATATTATTCGATATAGTGTTCGAGAATTTACTATCGACCTATCGACCATATACAGGGTATGCAAGAAATAAGTATTAGGAACAAAGGATGCCAGGGCTGTAACTAATTGTAAGATTAGCCTTGTTTACTTTGGATTCTTGTTTAGGGATACATATTTACATTGTAAGTATAACTTACTGTAATAAAAAGTTGGTATAGGAAAACAACTATTTTATAATGAAGTTTTCTTATATTGTCTCATCAAGGGTTCCAAAATATCTAATGACGCTACTGATGTATATATAGGTTCAAAGATTGAAAGCTGAGATGAATTTTGTATACTGTGCAATTATAATATGATAAGAATGTACACAATATTGCCAGTAAATGTACTTTTTGTTTATTATTACATTCTTTGGGGTTATGTTCAATTTTCATATTTACAATGTCACAATCTAGTCGCAAAATATGAATATTCATAACAGTATTGTTATTATTGTTTCTTATAAGCAGTACAGAAGGCCATTCATTAGCATAGAGTATAGTGATAAGGTATTTCGGCGAAGATATTCCAGAGGTTATCGTAAAACACCTATAATGGAATATTTCATCCATTATCTCGATTCTTTCGAAATTCTACAACGCGCGTTAGAACTTTGAACATAAACACGTATTCAAATAAGGGTTAATTATTCCTTCATTTATAAATAAGAATAGATCATATCACGAAGCGCTGTTATTAAGATTAACTCGATGATTTTATGAATTATTCCTTCGTGTATAAATAAAAATAGATTATGTCATTATAATAATATCGCCTATAGGCGATTCAACTAACTTTGTTATAAATTGTGCAAGAAAATTGCATGCAAGAAGACGAAGCGGATCTTAATCTATTCCTGTCTATCCTTCTCGTCGAACTTTAATCCTACATTCTTTACAGTTTATATTCAGTTTTAGTCTTCGAATCAGAGTTGCAAACTTAATTAAGTCAACTGGCCATATAGCATATGAAATATTACAGGAGTTTTTTTTTTTGCAAAATGCGAAATATTTAATGGAGTATCAAAAATTTCATAACAACGTTGCTACAATGTGGTTTTGTTCGCATTCGTGCAAACTATTGCTAAATATTATGAAATCGTCGCAGGAATGTATTCAAAATACCTCAATTCATACCTCAATATTTTTCATATACAATTACGGATAAAATATCTTTATTTAATTCTAGCGCATTAATTTTAGCAAACTTCGATACTTTTGCTCGACTTTTCACGCCGTTGAATTAAACTCGTAAATAAGTATTCCCATTGTAATATTACCTCATGTTTTACTACATCAAAATACCATGTTTACTCGCGAAAAGAAACTCTTTGCGTCACCCTGTATAAATACTATCACCTCGTAAGCAAACTGGACGACGTGACTTCTACAGTGACAATCATGGCTGGTAAGTGTGAAGAACCACTTTGTTTGCTCCTAGTTATTTTAAGAAATACATGTAAATATTAGCGAAAATAATACATGTCATCTTCAATTTAGTCGTTTAATTTAGCCATCTTTTACGAGAGAATAGAAATATCGCTCCATTTATTATAGTATTAGATTTGTATAATTTATGAATGCTGTTCTAATTTAAGAGAAAACACCGCAAAAGAAACGTCTCGAATTCTGTGTACTTATATCATTTTCTCGTGACAACGCGCGGCAATACTAAATTTGTGATTGTTCTGTTACATGAATTAAGAGAAATGCAATTATAAACGTGACGCTTGACACGAGTTGTGATTGCATTAATTGTGACACCTGTTACGTGTGACAAGTAATTAAATTGTAATGTTTTTTTTGTGTGTTCATTTGTTTCGAAGCAATGTGTCAAATTGGTCTCCCTTGTTTCTCCCTCATCGTGTGTGACAAATGAAGTGAAATTTGATATAATTCTCATTAAGTCACTTTTAATTATAATAAATAATGTATTGCAACGATAAATTTATATCATAGTGTAAAGATACGAGTGTAGATATTTGAATATGAATTGTCAATTGGATTGCTATGTATAAACAATTCGATAGAATACCTTTTCTGAGTCAAAACTTAAAGACCTTCTGTGCATGCTTTGTAACAAATTCTTATATTTATAAAAGTTCTCTATAAGTTTTAATAACAAATTTTAAATAAATTTATTTATTTTATTTTACAATATTTATGTTATAATTCTGTACAAGAATGAATGAATTTCATTGATTTTCAGAAGATAATCCATTTAACAACATACTCAAGTCCATTAAAGTTGGATCAAAGGAATACAAATACTATGACGTCACTCATTTTGGAAAGAAATATGGTAAATATCTATGAATAATCGAATGCTTTAGAGCATTTGTATACACTGACCAGATTAAAGAAGTATAATTATGTTCAATGATCTGTGTAGACAGGTTACCATTCTCGGTTAGAGTTCTCCTGGAAAGTGCTGTTAGGAATTGCGACGAGTTTCAAGTAAAGACATCTGATGTTGATAAAATATTAAATTGGGAAGTTAACCAGACTCACAATGAAGGAGTGGAATTAGCTTTCAAACCATCTAGAGTAATATTACAGGTGTGTATAAAATTATTACAAATTATATTTAATTAATTATAAAACATAGATGAGTCTTTAAGTTACATTCAAGTTAACGTGCATTTTAAATTACATAAATTATAACAGGATTTCACTGGGGTGCCAGCAGTGGTGGATTTCGCTGCTATGAGAGATGCTGTTAAAAGATTGGGAGGTGATCCAGATAAAATAAACCCTATTTGCCCGTCAGATCTTGTTATCGATCATTCGATACAAGTTGATTTTATTAGAAGGTAAATTAAGCTAAAAAAATTTTCTGGATCTAAACATAAGTTCGTTTTTTTTTTTAACAAAAATGAACTTATGATTATATAACTACTTTGAATCAAAGTCTAAAAATAGTTATGCTTCATTTGAAATTAAAATTAGCAGAAAGATAATGCGTTCATATTCATAACAGATAGTAGTTGTCTGAAGTAAAGAAGATAAGAGTTTTGATAAGGATCGCATCTTTTTTCTAGCAACGACGCTCTTAAAAAGAATGAGGATCTTGAATTTGAGAGAAACAAGGAACGTTTCATGTTTTTAAAATGGGGAGCCAAAGCATTCGAAAATATGTTGATCGTACCTCCAGGAAGTGGAATAGTGCACCAAGTTAATTTAGAATACCTAGCGAGAGTTGTATTCAGTACCAATGGCTTGCTCTATCCCGATAGTGTGGTTGGAACAGACTCTCATACAACTATGATCAATGGTCTCGGTGTACTAGGATGGGGTGTTGGAGGAATCGAAGCTGAAGCTGTTATGTTAGGACAAGCGATATCGATGTTACTACCAAAAGTTGTAGGATATAGATTAGAAGGAGTTTTGAACCAGTACGCTACTTCGACCGATCTTGTTCTCACAATCACGAAGGTACAAATTTTTCAAGTACAAATAAAACTCGCACCTGGTGCAACTATTTCTCAACAGATATTCTCGTGTACTTGCAGAATTTGCGACAAATTGGAGTAGTTGGGAAGTTTGTAGAATTCTTCGGACCAGGTGTATCTCAGCTAAGCATCGCGGATCGTGCCACGATATCGAACATGTGTCCAGAATATGGCGCTACAGTTGGTTTCTTCCCAGTTGATCAGCAGAGTTTAAATTATCTGAGACAAACAGGTAACGCTGGAACATTCTTAAAATCATAGTCGAATAGAAAAAAGAATTGCTTATGAAATTGTCCTCTACAGGCAGAGATGAAGACCACATCAATCGAATCGAGAAGTA